CTCGGAGAGTGCCTTTGGGTTTCCAGGTCGTCGGATCGGGTAGGACGCATTAAAGACTTTATTTCCCCATTTTCTCCCTGAGTTGTACATTTTCCTTGTTTCCTTTTCCCTTGTAAATAAACCTTTTACTAACCTTTTGTGTGTGCCTGTAGTGGAGTATTCATAAGTCCCTTGTAAGCGCGCGGGTGAGGACCCACAGCCAGGCAACCCGTTCAATATCGGGGCTGTCCTATAACATTGCCACTGAAGGTCAGCTGTGTGCCATGTCAGACCAGGGTTGAAGGTCTGACAGACCAGAAACAGAAGAGGTAAGCATGGCATGGAAGAGTCCGGAGGCAAAATAACAAAGTTAAGGCGGGAAGAGAAAAAAGGTTTAAGATGGGGCTCTCCAGCCCAGAGCAGAGAAGACCAGGCAAGCCTTGGCTTCAGGGGGCCTCAGGCTTGACGGTGATTCTAGCCGGGCTGCCCGTCCAGTAAACCCAGCAGCCGGCCATGAGCCACCAGAGAGACCAGGCCGATGTTACAGGTGTCCTGGGTAGATGAAGGTGCGGTAACAGTGGGGACCAGGAATCTAGGCTGGGGCTGCCCCACTCTCCGCACATGAACCCAGGAATCCTGGGGGTCCTGCCCATTTGGGGCTGGAGCTGTGACCTTGGCGCTCCTAGCTCTGCTCGCCTGGGGCCTGGCAGCTCTTTCTCTTCCCCATTATCTCCTCTCTATCCTTCTCTTCCTTCATTCCCTGCCCCCACCTCTTTCATCTTATCTTTCCCCGGAGGAGCAGGACTTCCGGAGCCAGATACCTCCAGGCCCAAAGCTCTCTGCAGGGAAAGACGGACATTTAAAAGGCTCCTGGATCAACCAGGGTCTCCAGCAGGGGAGGTGCTCTCTACCTAGGCCTTGTTCAGTCCCCTGCTGCCCCAGGGTAGCAGGGAGCAGAGGTGGGAAAGAGCAAATTCTCTGTGGCCTAAGGGCACAGTGCCCCTGGGACCAGACCCACCAGCAGCGCCATCCAGTGCTGGTTCAACTTCTCAAACAACAACTGTCTACTCGTTGCCATGTTCAGTTTCGTTTCATTTGTGTTACGCCTTTCCATTATAACTCTTCCTTACATTGGAATCTCACCAAACATCACCTACTGGGCATCTGGCAAGACAATGACCTTTCTCATGACCTTTCGTCTCTCCAAGCTGAAATTTCTGCTGTCAGCAAGTCTCATCTGCACACTTCACTCTCCTCCTTTGCTCATTCTCTAGCTTCCACTCTCCAATCTTTGACTCCTACGCACTGGTATCACCGCGTTCTCTCCTTTATTGTTCTTTCCCTACTCGTCCTGCTCCTTTGTTTACTCCTTCCCCTCTGTGCCCGCTTACTTCACAGGTCCATCCATCGTCTTCGAGATATGTACACCTTCCAGCTCCCTTCTAAAAACAAAGGGGGACCTGCTGCACCTCCCCCTGCAGTGACCTTTAGGGTTAACATTCCCTAGGTCCGGCTGGGCGACCAGCGCGCAGGGGGAGAACAGCAAAACCCCCTAAAGACATACCTGCTGCACCTCCCCCTGCAGTGACCTTTAGGAATGGCTTTCGCCACGGTCCCTAGGTCCGGCTGGGCAACCAGCGCGCGCGCGGGGGGGGGGGGGGGGGGGGGGGGGGCAGAAACAGCAAAACACCCTGAAGCAGAGGAAGAAGCAGAGGAAGTACAGCGGAAGTTCCCTGAAAAGACAGAAGCTTATCAAAAGATAACGACCACCAGGAACCACTACAAGAATGCTAAAAAACCTTATCCCGTCTTTCTAGAACTACAAACTTTAATCCCTTATTTGTCTTTCTAAACTTCCTTCTTCTATAAAAGTCATTGCTTGTTATGTAGATCACCGCCCTGTTGGTGATAGGCTGAGCCCATGAGCAAGCTGATTTCATTGATATTCATTGTCCCTGTGCTTTTGGAAAACATATATATACTGGTCACAAACTCAAAGAAAATTACACTCAGAATTTCACTCTTGAAGTGTGTCTGTTTGTCATTTCTTTCACCGACGCCCTGACCACCTGCACGCTTCTCTCAACCCCGAGGTGGCCTCATCGTCTACTGCTGTGCTGGTCCGCGGCAATCCAGCTTTCTAGAATCTCTTGGGAGAAAGGAGAGACTTCTCTGACTAGCCAAAAAAGGAAAGCTGGGCTTCCTGCCTTTTAGTAAAATGCTTTCCTAGTCACCTGCTGCTTGGCTGAGGCCAGAGGAGGAGCAGTTTTCTTTGTTGGGAGACGGAGGAAGGAAGCGGAAGGGCAAGGCCCTCCACCCAGTCAGTGCCTATTTCCGGGCTATGAATGGAAAACTAAGGGCCCTTTCCTGCAGCTGGTTCTGGGTGCTCACGTCCCCCCTGAGTGCCCTGGTCACTACGACCCCTTGAGGACAGGGGAGGGTCCCGGGCCACAGAAAGGAGAGACACGGGTTGGTGTGAGTCCATGGAAGCCCCAGGACATAATCTTTAATTGATGTTCCTGTCCCTGCCTCCCCACCCCCTGAGCCCCAGATGACATATTTACAGGATGCTGTATGGAGCCAGTTCCAGGCCCAGGCCCAGCCGCCTCCACTCCTCCCTGAGCTCAGGGCGGGCCAGGGGGATGCAGACAGCTGGGAGCCAGGTGGACTGGTCATAGGAAGTCTTCATTCTCCACGCCCCCACGCCCACCCTCGCGTGCACGTGCACACACATATACACACACATGCCAGTGCGTGCAGAGGCATTCACACTAATGCAGAGATGTGGATCCGAATGCTTGTGCCGGCTGCACCGCCACCTGTGTGCCCGTGTGTGCTTCCAGGGGATGCCTGTGGGCACCACAGCAGTTGTGCAAATCCCAGCCCTTAACCTGCAGCACCTGCCTGCGGGGCTGGTGGAGCAGGACTGGCCAGAGGGGTACCCCACCCACCCCACTCGCTTGGGCAGTGCCAGCTGGAGCTCAGTGTTGAGGACCCCATCCAGCCACCCAAAAGGGGGTCAATGGGCCTCAGTCCCCAGTTTGCCCCTGAGGGGTGGTGCAGATAACAGGGAGCCACTTCCTCCATGATTCCTCCTCAAAGATGCCCCAGAAACAGGGACTGAAACAAGCAGTTCAAAGGCCCTGGGGTGTTCAGAAACCCCTGTGAGTCTGGGTGGGGATCCCTGGGGAGAGGGGCTCCAATCACTTGTGGCTTTCATCCATAAGGTAGTTTGACCCTTGCCTTACCCCTGCCCGCTGTTTTTTAGCAGCTGAGGAGCCAGAGCTCCTCTGTCCCAAGTGAGGGTCACGAGGGAAGGCCATGGGTGGAACTGTGGTTTGTAGGAAGACTGACAGGGATTCTGCCTGGCCTCAGCCTGTTTCCCAGGTTCGGCTGCAGCGGGGATCAGAGGACATAATGGGGAGAACAACTGTAAACTTACTACTGGCCCTGGAGTGGGGGTAAGGAGTGGAATGGGTTTAACAGGGCCTTGAGGATTTTTCTAGAAGCTGAGGATCATACATGAGACCTGCCTTTTCCTGCTTCCTCCTGCACGTCACAGGCAGAGCTCCTAACCCTCCAGGCACTGGGCCACCCTTGGCCACCCCTACTTAGGAGAGTCTTCCCTGGGAAGATGGCCCAGCCTGGGCCATACCAGGGGGCACCTAAACCCTGAGTCAGCCCCAGAATCACCTTTCTTGAAAGGGGGGAAGGTGCCATTTTATTTCAGGGACTGTATTTTTCTAGACCCCCAAATACATGTGTCCTGGCAGGGGCAGCAGGACAGTTATTTTGGAATTGAAGACAATCTGGGACATGTAGTCTCCGTACCCATAACCTAGGCCGTGGGCACAGAGCAGGCAGCTTTGGTTTGAATCAGCACTCATACCCTCTCCAAGCTCAGCAGGCTGGGCGGAGGGGGCGAGCGGAGAGGCCCGGCCCCTGCCTGGCTCGGGGTTCTGCGTCCGGTGAGAGGATTCCAAGTGTGATCATCCCGGGGGACGGCCATGGCTCGGGCCCTCTGGTCCCTCCCAAGAACATCAAAGCATTTCCATAGCTGCCCTGTCCCCAGCACCCCCAAGGTTACATTCATCAGTTGAGATTTCAGTTTTTAAAAATGTAGGTATTGGCCCCCTCCCCCGAAGTCCCAGAAAGCTAAAAACCTGGTCCCAGCTGCCTGGTTTTGAGGAGGGGCCATCCCAGGCCATGTCCCCTGGTGGCTGCCTGCCCCCCGGGGTTCCCCCCAGGCCCCCCTCCCTCACGACTTGAGCTGCGGCAATCCGTGATGATGGAAGCTACATTCACACAGGGAGAGTTGGTGTGCAAGGCCAAAGCCACATGGGGTGCGGTGGGGGACCACGAGGGAACTGCCCCCCAGCCTGGTCCACCCTGGTGGTGTGAAGGGCAGGGTCACAGCCTCCCACCCAGACCCCTGGGGCCGGGCGTTGAAGGGCTTGGGCCCGGAAGACATCTGCATGGTGCCTCCCTCCGTGGCTGGGCAGGGGCAGCCTCCTCGAAGTTCAGGGTGGAGACGGTGGGTGCCAGCCTCGGAGGGAGGGGGGTGGCACTTAGGCCCCTCCAGACCTGGAATGGAGAGGGGGCATGAAGGGAGGATATGAGGCAGGCCCCAGAGGGAGAGCCCCTGAGCCAGGCCCTGGGAGGGCAGTGCCAGGCCCTGGAGGCAGCAAGTCACAGGCTGGCCAGGGAGGGGTCTGGCGGGAGGTCAGACAGCGGTGACATGGAAGACAAAACAGATGGGACGCAGAGGTAGGCTCCCTTTCCAGGGCACAGGCTGGTGGGAGGCAGAGCCCCAGGATCCGCCTGGCCGGGGAGGTCTGGACAGAGGCAGGGCAGGAGTCGATGGGCGGGGTGGGAGGGCAGGGCAAGCTGAGGACTGTCTTCCTGGAGGGGGTGCTCCCACCCCTGCGGTGACAGCGGGGGCGGGGCGGCCCCCAGCTCCCCGTCAACAGAAGGCAAGGTGACGAATGAGATGGAGGAGACAGGGACAGCGGGAGGGATGACGTGGCCGGCGTCACACTGCCCCCTGCTGGGTCGGGTCGTACCTTCCTCGGCGGATGTTTCTTCGGGAGCCGCGGAGGGGACAGGCGCAGGGAGGGGAAGAGAAACGTGGTGACTTGCCCCAGCCCTCGGGAGACTCTGCTCCAGAGACGGCCAGTCCCTGGGGCCCGGACGCTAATGACGGGCCCAGGGAGGTGCTGAGGAGACCGGCCAGAGTCGGGTCCTGGGTTTGAATCCTGACTCTGCACCCACCCCCTTGACCCTGGGGCCTCGGGTCCCTTCCCTGCATGGTGGGTGGGTGAGACCAGCCCAAGGGCCACAGGCGCAGCCACCGACGGGCCACGGCAGGCTGGGCGGAGCCTGGGGATGCGGACCTGTCTGGGGCAGCCCCGGCTCAGCTCCTCTGAGGCCTCGCTGAGGTGCACTGAGGTACAGTCGGGCGCTGCCTATTTTCCAGCAGAGAGGTTGGAGATCAGGATAGTTAGCCTAGAATCTCCTGGCTTTTAAATGTGGGCAACACAGCTTTCAAAAGAACTGCGATCCCGTGGCTGGCTTGGACCATAAAGTATGAACTCTGGTCTAGCTAACTTCTCAGGGGGGCCCCCTCAGTTCCAGCAGTCTGGGGTTCTGATCACCCAGGGGGTGCCAGGAGGGGTCGGGACGTGTGTGTCTTACTTAAATCCCCAGCCCGTGCCGCCCAGGACGATAGCTGCGACGAGGACAGCCCCGGCGATGGAGCCGATGATGATGTTGGTGCCGCTGGGACCTGGGAGGAGGGCGGGGCTCGGTTGGCAGGACAGGCGTGGAGAAAGGGCAAGGCGGAACCCCCACCCCGGCCGGCGGCAGCCTCACCCTTATATCTCTCTGTCTCCCCCGTGGGCGGAGACGTGGGGAGGGGGTTGTGGATGCTGCAGTCTTTGCCCGTCCAGTCCGGCTGACAGATGCACTTCCCTTCATTGCTGCAGACCTGGAGACGGGGGAGGGCCAGCATGGCTGAGCAGGCTCTGTCCCCGCTCTTGTAAGCCACGCTATTCACCCCTGGCCTCCAGGCACCCACCCCGTGGTGGGAGCAGATCCGGCGGTCCCCGCTGCCAGGGCAGCTGCTGAAGTTGAAGGCAGAGGCTGGCAGGCAACGGTGATCCAGGCACAGCATGTTGGGGCCACAGGCTGTGCCATCCTCCACGTAGCTCAGGTCAGAGCCATCGGCCAGCTGCACATGGCCACCCCTGGGGAGGCAGCACAGCCAGCCTAGGTGCTTGCTCCTCCCACCCCCCAATCACAGCCACACCCTCCCTTTCCCAGCTGAGATCCCAGCCAACACCTGCAGTCTAGTTCCTTGCCCTGATGGTAGAAGGTGACGCTGCTGATGTCTCCCCCTAGGTCTCCCAGCCGAGGAGCTCCAGAGATGTTCACACAGAGGAGGAAGCCACAGAGCACGTCCCTGTTGGGGCAGTGTGGAGACAGTGAGCCCCAGGTCTGACCGCAATTTGAATCTGCCCTCTTCCCCACCCCAACTTTTCACAGGCTATCCCATCAGGACTCAGGTTTGTCCTAGGAAAACCTGCTGCCCCAACTCTGGAAAAACCCTCCCCGATCCCAGAGCTGGAGAGGCCCAGCCAAGAGCATGGGTTACTCACTGTTTATTGCACTGGACCCAGCCTGACCCCTTGCGCCCACAGTTCCCACGCTCCGTCCCCTCCACGTTCAACTTCTCATAGCAGAAGCGATCAGCAGCCGCTACACGGAGATGATGCCAGTTGTCACCCCACCCTCTCCAGAACCCACCCAAGACTTTCAGCGTGGCGGGGTCCCTGAGGTCCTGGGGAGTCACACATTTGGTAGCAGGCATATTCAGCTGGTATCTGGCCCCTCTCTAGTCTCTCGATTCTGGGTCTTTTGGTAGGGTCCCCTATCCCTACCAAAGAGCTCACCATGGCCCCAAAGGGCTTGGCACTGCCGGTCCCGGGTTTTGCAGCGACCCCCGTAGCAGCGGCCCTGAGGAATGATAAATAGGTGACAAGGGACAAAAATGTTGAGTGTCCGAATAGAGACGACACTGTACTGCACTGAGGGAGAACAGCCCCCACCCTATCATACCTGTTCATGATCACAGTAGTACCCGTCCAGCTTGTGCAGATTAGGGGGACACTGTGGAGAGAGGGGCTGGACTGAGCAGAGCAGCTGGGACTGAGCAGAGCCGCTGAGGACACTCCAGGCATGCACAGCCCCCACCCCCATGAGAATTGACATGACAGGACTCCTCCATCTTGCTCAGAACTCAGCCCACAGGGTTCCCCATAGCTTCCCTGCTTCACAGGGCTGGGAGAAGTGCCTGCATGTAATACGGACTTATTGGAAGCCTCATATTATCCACTCTGATCTCGAGCACACACCAGACACTGCGTCAGGTGCTGAGAGCACCAGTCAGGCTATAAATACCATCAACCATTGAGGGGACAAAACCAGGGGCCATGAAGAACCACTTCATGCTGGGGGTGAGGAAGCTGAGGCTGCTCCGCCGCGGGGACGCGGGCAGCAGCGCGGAGGAGGGCGTGGGAAGCAGTCGAGCCCCAGAGCCAAAGCAGCAGGGCCAGGGGCTGTCTGGCCAGGGGCTCCGCAGGCGGCCGGGCCGGTCGGACCTGGCTTGAGTCCCCGGTGCAGGTCTCCGCGATGTCGCACTCGTTCACGGCCTCTCGACAGGACACGCCTCGCGGCTCATACTAGGGAAGGGACGCGTTCCGGGGGCTCAGGCCGCCCGGCGAACCCAGAGCTCGCCGGCCCCGCCCCGGACTCCGCCCCTAGATCTGGCCCCGCCCCAGCCAGCCAGCCCCGCCCTACCCGCCCGACCACTGCACAACAGGCCACGCCCCTCCTCTCCCTCCCCATTGGCGCTTTCTTGTGAAGCCCCGCCCACCAGGCTTGCCCGACCTCCTGCGGCTCCTCTAAGCCCCGCCCCTCCCAGCTTATCCCCGCCCCGGCGGCCGGTCCAGCTCACCTTGCAGCGGCGACAGCAGAGCCCGTCGCTGCACATGGCGTCGTGAGTCAGGGTGCATTTCTTGCAGCAGTTCCCGCCCGCGCGGCTGCACTCCTGAGGACGCGGGGAGAAGGCGGGGGAGGACGAGACCCGACCCCCCCACCCGAACCCCCGCTCGACCCGCCCCCGCGTCGCCCGGCCCCGCCGGCGGGTCACGCACCTGCACCGAGCCGCAGTCGCACTCCTCGCCCGCCTCCACGAAGCCGTTGCCGCACTCGGGCGGGTCCAGGAGCTGGGCCGGCAGGGGAAGGGGTGTCGGAGTCCGGCCGCCCCCCTGCCCGAGCCCCGCTCCCCCGCTCCCCGCCCTGGGCTGGTACCTTGAGGGGCTTGTTGAAGAGGCAGCTCCCGCCCCCCTCCTGCAGGAACTGGCTGTACTCGTCTATGCTGCAGCGCGAGAACTTGCGGGGCAGGTAGAAGCTGGCCGGGGCGAGGGGACAGGGCTGCTGGGGCCCGGCCCGCGCCTTCCCCTCCTGTCCCTTTCTCATCCCATCTCAAGATTAGGGAGGGGGTGACCCGTGCGCCTCGGCCACCCCTCGAGGAGGCTGAGGGTCTCTGTGCCCGGCGCAAGAAGCGCCCCCCACACACCAAGCGCGAGTGGCGGGGGGGGGGGAATGTCCGCCTGCCCCTTCCCTGACGCTCAGGGCTCGGAGGTTGGAGGCCAAAGGAGACGCCAAGCGAGGCACTGGCGGCGCCCGGTGGCGACGGGGCGCACTACAGGCTGTCTGGTTTGGGTGTCCGGCAGGGAAATCTGGGTCTCCTGTGCAAAGTCTGCAGAATACTAGGCTTCTTGGAATCCTGGTCGGGAAAGCTAGGTCTCTGGAGGCCACCGGGTCCAGACTGCCACGCAGTTCTTGCTCTGGGGCCGGCCCAGACCCAAGGCCCTCCCCCAGTTTGTCCCCAAGAACTCACCCAGTGTCCTCCATGATGCAGCCCAGCCAGTTGTCCGGACATTTGCAGTCCCCTGGGAGGTGAGCCAGGTGGATATAAGGGGTGGTGGAGGACCCCTCCCATGGCACCCTCGTCACTTCTAGAGCTGCTGGGTGGGTCTGCGCTCGTTGTGGGGCCACATGGGGTTGTTATTGATACCTGCTGAACTCCGGTGCTTATTCCACATCATGCCCAGGTTCTGTCCCAGTGTCTGAGCCAGGGTCACTGCCATGGCCCCCATGTTGTCATACTTGGGATGAAGAAACAGCACAAAGACGTCCATATTTCTCCAAAAGGCACAGCACCCATGCCCTTCAAAGCCCGTCCCCTCCCTCCAACCCTCCGCCTGGCCATACCCCCACGTGGCTCACCTCGTTCACACCCCCACCCCTGGACAGTGAGCAGATTCCCCCCACGTAGGCAGCCCCGCTACTGGTGCTCTGGAAAGTCCTGCCCCTGGAAAGGAGAGGGTCGTCAGGACTCCTGCCCATCCGTGGTGGCTCCCCTGGGCTGCCAGGGGTGATGGGGCATCTCCCTCACCACAGCCCCTCCCTGGGGGTAAACATTGCCCTCGCTTCAGCCTGTCAAGCCCCTTGCCCTCTTTGGGGGAGGCCCATAAGCCAATAATGAGAGGTTCCCATTAATCATGTCAAATCATAAGATCTTTTCATCTTTTTTTTTCCCCCACCAGGGCACTGAGTCCCTGAGGAAGGGGAGTTGGGACAGTCTGGAAGGGAAAGACGGATGAAGAGGGTGGGGAGGGACAGATCACCAGGGGCCAGGGAGGGGCATGTGTTTAAGATGAGGGGATTGATGCCCAGTCTGTTGCTTGTGGCCGGGGGGCAGGCGGAGGTGAGCCCAGGACCCAGATCCTGCCAAGCACCTGGCCCAGGGCAGCTGTCAGTAGCCCTGCACCCTGCAGCAGACAGCGGAGGCTGGCAGGGTGGAGGGCGTGGGGACTCACGAGAAGAGGTGGGTGGCATCGCTGGGCTCAGGCAGGCCTTCCCGCCGGTAGACCATGAGCCGGGCCAGGGTCTCCAGGAGGTCATCCTGCACCTGGATCTTGTCCCCATCTGCCCACGTTTCCATGGCGACCAGCACAATGCGGGTATTGAGCTGCTCCTTGTACATCTGTGCCCGGAGGGGAGAAGATGAGGAGGGGGCTAGACGGGGGAAAGTGGGGGGACAGGGTGGCGGGAAGGTCTTAGTCTATCCTCCAGGACACCGGACTCAGAGATTCATAGTGTCCTCCAGAACTCACCCCAAGGATGGATGGGGGGGCATAAAGGGCGAGGGAAGGGAGGGCGTGCTGCTCACCACATCTGCCAGGTTCACCACGGACTTGGCAAAGTTGCTGGTAAGGACCACAGACTGTCGCATCTGCTCAAACTAGGAGAGCGAAGAGTAGGCAGAGGGCGAGGCTCCTCCCGCCCCTCTCCTGGAGTCCTCCAGGGAACTTACCAGCTGATGGTCGTTGATCACAATCAGCTCCACGTACTTGGTCTCGCTGTGCACTGTAGGGTGACCCCGGCGGACCTAGGGGGTGGGTGGGCACTTGGAATCAGTCCCCTCCATGCCTGATGTCCTGGCCACACCAAGGACTGATGGGGAGGCTGCACTCTAGCCAGGGACCATGGCAGCTCCCCACTGGTGGGGCTCCGATCACCCTCAGCCTCGACAGGAGGGCAGGCAGCCTTGGTTGGCCACGGCGGGGATGTGTGTCAATAGTGGGGTGAGGAAATGGGGTGGGAGGCTTCCTCCAGAGACGGCGCCCGAGCCCCCTGCCACGGATGGGGTGGCGTCCTGCTCCAGACTGCAGCGCCAGGTCTCTGCAGCCCGAGGTCTGCGCGGGCCCCCGTACCTGCCTTTTCCTTCTCAGCCTCGACCGGTTTGGAGGAGCGAGATGAACAGGGGCAGCAAACAGGCAGCCTGGGGGAGGGGACAGGTGAGGGGGGCACATCCACCCCCTCCCCACCCCCACTTTCCCTCCCTTACCTGGTTCCCTGCATCTGAGGGGGTCTGGGAGGAGAGGGGTCCGGTAAATGAGGTGGGGAAGGGGTCCCTGCAATGAGGGGGAATTCATTTTTGGCAGGCTGAGCAAGTCTGCTGAGCCCAGTTGGGGGAGCAGCCCCAGCCTTGCCCCCACCCCCACCTAGGGTGACCCAGAACTGGCCAGAGCTCCCATGTCGGATCTGATCTCCCAGATGCTCAGATTCCGGGGTCAAGACCTGGGGGTGCTCTGAGAGATAGGGGCAAAGGACACTAGAGCCTGGTGGGAGGTTACTTGGGGGGCACAGGGGACATTGGAGCTGGGGGCACAGGAGGAGGGAACCCGATCTGGGGTCACTGAGGAGGGCAGTGAGGCTGAGGTTACCGTGGGAGGAGGAGGCGGCGCGGTGATAGTCACAGGGAAGAATGAGCTGGAGGGGACCGTGGGGGGCTTACCTGGGTGGCTTCTGGAGGCCCCGCCATCTCTCGCGGCTCCACGATGTAGGTGAAGTTTCCGTCAGAGAAGACCCCACTGCAGAGAGAGGGGCAGCTCCCCACAGTTCCCAGGGCCAGCGGGTGGCCTTTCCCAGCCCCCCAGGGCGCCTCCCCCCTGTACTCACTGCAGCCCCTGGCAGGTGGAGAGGGCGGCAAAGGACTGCGGGTTCCCCCGCAGCTTCCCCTGGTAGTAGCAGTGGTCTCGGGGCCCCTGGGGAAACAGCAAAATTGTGAGCGGCCCAGCCCTTGCCCCCCCCCAAAGGAAGGACAGGCGGGAGTGTAGAAGCCGCCCCTGTGCCGCCCCTGGGTCCGCCTGGGGTCTGCAGCCTGGCTCCGTGCGGGCCGGGCAAGTTCCTGGCCCTCTGGGCCGGCGCCGCGCCTCCGAAGCGAGGAAGCGGTTCTTAAGCCCGGGCTGGGGCCGAGGGGATCGCAGACTCCTCTGAGAGCGGCGAACCTTCGCAGAGCACCGACTAAGCGCGGGCGCTGTCCCAGCAGGCACCGCAGACGAGCCCACCCGGACGCCACGCACGGCCAGCAAAGCCCACGCCATTCCACACACAAGCCTGGCCCGCTGGCCCTGCGGCCGCCCCTGGGCCCGGGGTCTGGGCTGGGGGCTGGGAGCACGTGGGGCGGAGGGGACCAGCACCACCCCCTGGGCTTCCTGAAGACTTACTCGAGCTCCAGTGACCGGCAGGCTGGGGGCGGGGGAGCTATTTAGCGACACTCATTCATCTTAGCCGGGGCCCTGGGCCTTGGGGCCCGGACCCTGGTGCTCCAGGCGGTCAGGAGCTCCCAGGTCCTGGTGCAGATGGAGAGGGGCCTTTCCCCAGCCACCCCTCCCAGCTGAGTCTGGGCCTGAGAGGGGCCTCAAGTGCCCCCAAGCCAGGCAGAGAAGCTGCGACTCGGACCTCCCGAGCCCAGAGAGGGGAGATGCCAGGACCCCGATCCTCCAACGTGGGGAGAGATGGAGGATCCCAAGGGGCCAGGCCCATCCCAAGTGTACAGGATATCCTGGACCCCACTTCCACCGGCCGCCCGTCCCCACATTCCACCTCCCCTGACCGCTCCCCAGAACACTCACAGCACTGTGCTGGGTGGTCCCCTCCCGGCTGAAGTGGCGCTCCACGTATTGAGAGGAGAGGAGGTGGCTGGAACGAACGGAGCAGGCCAGAGAGGGAGGGTGTCACTGCGGGGCCAGGTTCCCTGCTGCAGCCCAGACCCCACCCCTCCAGCACCCCACTCCCCAATAACCGGCCAAGTCCAATCCAGGCCTTGCCTTGCCCTTCCTCCCAGGCGCCAGGCCACACTCACTGGTTTAGCTCCAGGTCCAGAGTGAAGTTTGAGTTGAAGGCTGGGATGACAAAGCTCACCTGGGCCAGGTGGACAGGCTGGGGGGAGGGGAGAGCAGAGGGGGAGTCAACCTGTGGAGGCTGAAGGTAGGAATTGGGGAATGGGGGAAACCCAGAATAGAAAGTTGCCCTAGGGGGAGGGTGGTCCAGCCCATCAGTTGAGGGGACCACTGATTTGGGGGCAGGTGCTTTCCACAAGTTCATCTTCCTCTAAGTTCTGTTCCCTCACATCGCAGGTGCTTCCCTTCCTGTCCCCCTCAAACTCTACAGGGGTGGAGTGGGGTAGAATTGATCACAGGATCCCCGAAAGCCAGGGCAATAGCAGGTCAGCAGGAAAGAACTTGACTTCTCTCCCCCAAGTCTATTGCCCTCCACCTTGTCCAAAGCAACTCATCTTTAATATTTCAATCCTATGGTTAATTTTTAAACACGGAAGTTTTCCTGATAAATTTTTCAGAGGGGCCTCTGCAGTGGGGCTGGGAGGCTCCAGGTTGTCATGGCAACGTACCAGGCCTGAGCAAGATGGCTGCCCTCCCAGGCCTGGGTGCCTGCCTACTTACAGTGGGGGTGGGGACTCCAGACCCAAAGCAAGTGTGCCTGGAAGGAAAGTGACCCCAAGAGAAGGAGGAGCAGGAGTCTGGGCTGGGGTGGAGTCAGCCTTTTGAGGTTGTGACTCCTGAAAACCCTGACAACATGCCTGGAGGCTCAGGACCCCTACCCCAAGCCTCAGGTGCTTACAAAAGATCTGGAAGCACAGGAGTGGCCTGAAGGGGCTCCAGTGGCTGGAGTCTTCTTCCATTCCAGAAGACTGCATTCCAGACCTCAGAGGAGGGTCCCACACCTGGGCCATGTGTATGTGAGAAATTTGTTTGCTGTCTTTCTTTTGATGGGAGCAAGGTGCAGGGTAGAGAGGTGCCTACTGTCAAATGCACAGCTTGCTACCTCCTAGGCTTCCTTTTCAATTACCCAGTTATTTCTAATCTTTCTATGCACTTATGCCAGGTACTGTTTTAAACATTTTACTGTATTATCATATTTGTTTTTTTTATAAAGATTTATTTATGCGTACAAGAGCTGGGGTACAGGCCAGAGATGAGAGGGGTGAGAGGGTTCACCAGAGACAGAGTGGGGAACAGAACAGGCAGACTGACTGAAATACACTGCTGAGGGGAGCAGTGGGTGAGACTGGAGAGGTCGGCTGTGCCATGTGGGTTGCTCCCTGGCCAGCTGGGGATCGAACTTGTGCTGCAGAGGCTGCAGATTGCTTCATAGTGTGGTGCTTAACCCCTTGCACCACCAGGGAGGCCCTGCATTATCATATTTGATCTCCACAACAACCCAATGGGATAGATCTGACAGGTGGAGAAACTGAGGCACAGAGTGGCTAACCAAGGTCATGCAGCTAAGAAGTGGTGGAGCTAATTGCAGCCTAGGGAGTCAGTTTCCAGGGACCCAAGGATGAGGCAAGATGGGTCCACTAGCGGCCGGGAGAGAGGGGATAAGGTGGGGCAAAATGTCAAAGCCTGGCTAGGCAGCCTTCTGAACCCCAAGGACAGACTCACCCTATCCAAGACTCCAAGCTCTTCCTGAGGCCCTAAATCATTGATCAAACTCAAAATAGAAAGTCAAGGAAGAGGAGTCACTGCTTCCCTCACCTCGAAAGCCTGGACATCCCTGTCCTTACTCTTGTCTCTTGAGCTTGGTCTATCTTTCCCACCCATCCCTGCCAGGACCATCTCTGCCCTTCTCTGTCCTCACGAATGTTCTTGTTCCCCACTCCCACCCCCGCATTAACAAGACCCTGTCCTGGCCTCCCAGACCCATTGTCCTGACTCCACTCTCTAAGCCTGTGCAGCCTCAGAGCTGATCCAGCAACCTCTCTGAGCCCCAGATGTCCCTACTGAGAATGGTATCCAAATCCAGGTTCAAGGCTGTAAGATTGGCATGTGTGGTAGCGTTCGCCCTGGGCTGGGAGTCAGCATTGGCACATGCAGTATCTCTCCCACTTGGGAAGTCAGCAGGCTAACCCATCTGGCCTCCCCCATCTCTGCAGACCAAACTGACCCCCATTCTAGGGAAATCCTGGACTGATGGGGCAGTAGACAGGTCCTCTGTCCCCCCACTTCTCACAGCCTGCAGAGGCTTCATCCTCTTTCCCAATAGGTGAGGCCTATCTGCAGGTGGGCAGCCCCCCTCCCCAGCAGGACATGGGATTCAGGCCAGATTAAGCCCTGGCAACCTCAGGGCAGGGTCTGGGCCCCCTAGAGGCAGGCCTGGGAAGGGTTGGGAAGCCACCAAAAGGCAGTAGAGAAAGAGGGAAGGAACTCGAGTGCTGGCTGGATGTGGGGGACTCAGGGAATGGCCCATCTGAAGGAGGAGAAAGAGCAGGCACACCCACCTCAGCCCCCAGGCACTTGGGGAGTCTCCTGCTGGCACTGGAGTCCTAAGACACCCCACTCAGACTGCTCCCCAGCTGACTGCCTCAGGTGTCAGGCCTATCCCTGGCCTCCCCCATCATCCCTGGGCCCCTCCCAAGGGAGCCCCTTCCGTCCGGTGCCTGGCCCCCTCCTCCCCCGGCACCGCTCAGTGGTGCTGGTGACCCCAACCAGCCCGGCCTTGACCCCAGCCTCTTGCTCCTGGCCATCCGGTCTCACATGCTCGGCTCATTTGCTCATTTATCCCGCCCCGCCGTCTGGTGCTCATTTTACAAACGTCAGGCTGAGGCTCAGAAAGAGACACTTGGAGGTGACTGGCCCGGGGCCATGAGGACCGGTCCAGGGTCAGGCCTCTCCCTGGAGCTGGAGTCCATATTGACCAGAGCAGCTGGGGTCTCCTGGCTGGGGTGACCACACCTCCCCAGGTCCTCCCTGTCTCCACCTCTTTCCCAGGCACCTGCTTCAGAGACTGGGCCTCCCCCAGCCTCTCTGCACCCATCAGGCCCTCCAAGTACAGGGTACAGGGGAAGGTGATGCCCAAGCCCCAGAGTTGCAAGCACTGATGCCAGGCTGAACCCCACCTAAGAAGCAGTCTTGGGAAGGGGGAAGATAAAGGTCTCGGGCTTTCCAACAGCCCCAGAAATTCCAGAGGTACAGGCTCTGCCTCTCACAGTTACCTCTCCTCCCTCCTCCTCAACCTCCATCCCTGCCCTCCACCTTCTCTCCCCAACGCACCAGCAAGCCTGCACCCACCACCCACAGGGCTTGGCCCCTGGCTCCTGCTGGGCCTTTAAGTACACAGCTCTGGCCCAGGAGTTCCTGACAGCTGCCTCAATCCTCCCCAGGGCAGGGGAACCTGTAGTCCCGAGAGCACAGGCTACACCCACCTTTTTCCCCTGCCCAGGGGCTCAATTCAGGCTGAATGGACAGGCACCAGGAGGCCTGAGGGAGCTGCTTAGCCTCTCTGAGACTCAGTTTCCCCCTTGGTAAAATGGGGTGATGGTAAGGATAAAATAAAAGCCCTTTTAATCATTATCACAAGAATAAGTTAAAATTACTAATATTAGAAAGAAGAAGTATAAATGCTGCAGCTGAACAGGGCTTTGAAGAACTGAAAAAACTGCATGGGCTGGGCAGTGGGGGGCCTGGGGGATGCAGATAGGGAGGAAGAGAGGCAGTGGCTCCACCCAGGAGGAAATCGCTCCCTGAAGTACTCCATCGGTCCCCAAGATGCGCCAAGGCTCTAGTGGGAGGAAACATGGTTGAATTTACAATAACGGGATTGAACCTCAAAACTTGAGGACAGGCCTTCCTGGTGGCTCAGGGGTTAAAGTCTCAGTGCGATCAAGCTATTTCTGGCCAAGGAGCTACCCACATGGCGCAAAAGACCTCCTCTGTCTCGCCCGCTGCTCCCCTCAGCAGTGTATTTCAGTAGATCCACCTGTTCTGCTCCCTACTCTGTCTCTGGTGAATCCTTTCACCCCCATCTCTGGCCTATACCCCAGTACTTGTATGCATAAATAAATAAAAATAAATCTTTTAAAAAAAGAAGACAGTTGGGCCTCCCCGGTGGTGCAGCGGTTGAGCACTGGGTTGTGAAGCTGCCCGCAGCCTCTGCAGCGCCGGTTCGATCCCCGGCTGCTCCCCGGCCACCGGAGAAAGGTCCCACATGGCGCGCAGACCTCTCCTGCCACCCGCTGCTCCCCTCAGCAATGTGCTTCGGTCCTTCTGCCTGCTCTGCAACCCGCTCTGGCTCTGGTGAATTCTCTCACCCTCCCGCGCTTCTGACTGTACCCAGTGCTTATATAAATAAATAAATAAATCTTTAAAAAAAAAAAAAAAAGACAGTTATTCCCTACAGGGTCATAAGTCCCTGTGGGGACAGACTCGGGGCAGCTGGGGTTTGGGCAGCAGAGCTTAGGTGAGGCCAGGCCCACAGACCTGGTGTGTGGCCAGGAAGGACCCAAGAACCTGCCCACTACAACACTGTCCAGAGACTGATAGGTAACCCCCACATGCCCTGGCCCCAGTTTCTGACACCCAGCTCTCAGGCCGGGACCAGCTGCACAGCGGCCTCGACACTCAGGAGGGAGGACAGGCTCACAGATGTTGAACATCTGCTCTTGTCAGATCGCAGGCAGGACACCTGCCGTCCATCATCTCTAATCCTCACAGCGGCTGTGGTAAAGTGCAGAAGGCAAGAAGCCCCATTTTATGGATAAGGAAGATGGGGTGCAGCGGTTTGCCCAGGTCACTCTGTTGGAAGCAGTGGAGAGAAATGTGGCTGTCCCCTCTACCCCCCACCCGCCACCACACAATGCAGCCTTTCAAGCCAGCTGGGCCGCCTGCTCCCGGCCCAGGCTTCCTGCCTCTGCTCCCAGGACAGAGCTGCGGCTCTGGCTGCCCAGACCGAGGTCCCCTGCTTATGCCTTCCACCTTGCAAGGGCTGGGACCGTGCCTGGCTCAGCTGTCCCCCAGCCCTCTGCAGCAGAAAGACACAGGAGTGCCGCCCATGCCCTTGGCTGGGGCTTCTGGGTGGCACTTCCTGTAAATGCCAGTCCGGGCGGCTCTCAGGGAGTCCAGTGACTGAGGCCCCCTCCCTGGCTGGCTCAGAGGGTAGGTCTCCTGGCCCGGGTCCTCCATGCCCTACCCAGCTGCCCGCTCACTTCCCCACAGCCGCCCTTTCCTTGGTTCCCAAGGGGTCTGGGCTGGGGGGAGGCAGGCGCCGCCCACAGAACAGCTTTGTGTGGCTTAGAGAAAGGGGTCTCCTCAGAGACCTCCTGAGCCCACCAACCGCTTCAGCCCGCTTGCCCACGTGCTCTGTGGAAGCGAACAAACAGCCTAATTGTACTGTCCTCCGGCCTCACCCCTCAGCCGCAGGCTCCCTGTGGCCACAGCTTTCCACACTTCCAGAAGCCTCCCGCACCTGCGGGGCCTCCGGCCCAGTCTGCTTCCAAACTAGACAGAGTGAGATAGTGAGAGCAATGGAAAGAAGGCAAACAGCCCCCGGGCCGCTCTTCGCTACACCCTGAGCCAGAGGCCAGCCGCAGGCCAGTTGAAAACCACTCTGAGCATCAACTTCCTCTGCTGCTTAGCGCTGTGTGCCCTGGGGCAGCTACTTCGCCTCTCTGTGCCTGTTTCTCCATCTGTGCAATGGGCATGATCACAGCCGCACTTCCTGGGGTTGTAATGAGCATCCAGTTTTACCTTTAAAAGCAGAAGAGTGCCTGCCCCAGGAAGGGCCCAGAAAATCGTCATTTCTCTAGCTCAGAGTTCCTTCCTGGCCACCTTCCCTGCCCCTTGCAAAAGCCAGAAGTCCTCAGAGCACAGAATCCTTTCCCCTCACCACTTCCTGGCGGGATTAATGTTACCATTATCCAGATTTTTGGAGTCGGGAAGGCAGGGCTCAGAAAGGCGACATGACTAGTCCAAGGCCAGGCCAAGTTAGCACCCCGGGCCCATATTCGGCCCTGTCGGCCGGCTTGGGCCCCCAAACGCCCACCTGACCCACAGCAGATGGAACTCTTGCTGCTGACCCAACATCTTGCTCAAACTAAGGTCCCAAACTTGTGCAGTAGCTCTGGACGGAGCCCAAGAGTGCTGCTGGGCCTTCCTGTGGGGCTGCTGGGCTCAGCATGGACCTGGCTCCACCATCAGCCCTGGGGTGTGGAGGGCAGAAGTGCTGCGGGAGGAAAGCAGGCGGGTGGGAGGTAGAGGCCACAAGTTCACTCTGTCAGGGGGCCGTGTCCTTGTTTCCCTTCACCTTGTGCAGGGGGGGAGGTGGGGGGTCAGTGCCCCTGTGCCTAAGTGCAAGACCCTGGAGGCAGGATGGTGCAGTGGGGAGTGCTCTGGTCTTGGAGAAAATGGCATCGCTGCCTAAGATGACAAGATGACTGGCTTTGGGCCAGTTACTTAGTCTCTCTGAGCCCCAGGTTGGTCCCCTGCAAAGTGGACAGACAAATGTTACTGAGTTGTGGGAATCTGACCTCAGGGGACACTGGGGTACAGTTCAGGCAGAGTTATGAGTAAATCCCCTAGGGAGGCTGCAGGAGGTCCCGGGGAAGGCTCTACCCCAGAGAGACCCCACTGGAGGGGACTGCTGCCCCAGATCCACAGAACCCCCTGCCCCTCCCCACCCCCTCAGATGTGCCCTGGGGCACATTCAGGCTGGGTCCCTCCCATACCTCACACGTGCCATCCACTCACCAGCAGAACATTCAAGGACACACAGTCACAGCACCATCATACCCGGAACCCCCCATGACCTCGCTCCAGGGAGGACTGGGGGCTGAAGAAGCACCACATTTTTCTCTCAAACTGGTCCCATATTGTCCCTTATCTCTGTCCTCTGGCCTGCCTCGGCATCACCCCATCCTCCATCTGGACACCCCCTGAAGCACTAGTCAGGAGGTCCAACAGTCAGGTCAGACACTCAACTCCCACAGTCTTGGGGTGCAGAGTGCACAGGTGGAGGGACATGAGTGAAGAAAGCCAGACTAAGGGGTGAACCAGCGAGGACATCCCCATGTCTGGCCCTGGGACCATTCTACCTTCTATCTACCACCTTCCAGGGAGTCTGGGCAGGACCTGAAGCAGCTTCCACCCCTTCCCTCCCTCACACCCCCATCCCTGCCGCCAGCTCAAGACCATTAACCACCCCTCTCCCCACTCTGCACCGCCTGAGTGATGGCCCATCTATTATGCATGCTGCCTTCCTGCTCCATTCCATTTCCCGAGTATCCCCCCTGCACCCCACCCCCCCTAAGGGCTTTTAACCAAGTACATTAGGCAGGCCAGATGCCAGTCTGACAGATGTCCGTAATGTTAGCCTCTGTTTCCCTCCTTCCTTCCCTCGGCCCAGCCCAATTTACCTCCCACCATTTCCAGCTGCCAAACCTTCCCAGGCCTCGGTGGTCCGCTCCTCAGTCTCCTCTACTCCTCCCGTTTCTGCCAGGCCTCGCCACCCGCCCTCCCCGCCCCCGCTGGCCTGGCTAACTTTCAGCTTCCAGCTCCTGGAGAGCCAAGGCGTGCTGAATGAATATTCCATCTGGGTGATTATTATTCACATGATATTAATTAATTATTAATTGCAATTAATCTCCTTCATTCCTAACCTTCCTCTGGGAGGCAGGAGGGGCCTGGCAGCTAAAAGGGACAGGGAGCGGGTGGAGCTGCCATTTGTGGGTGAGCTTGGGGCCTCCATCTTTTTCCCAAGTCCCCACCCTCAGTGAGGGCAGAAAGGAAAACATTAAGCCTATCTGTGCAGGGGGGAAACTGAGGCAGAGCAAGCACTAAACTGTTCTAAGAAAGCCCAGGGACAGTGGCTGTGGTGAAAACCTGGGTCCCCATCTCTGCCCCGGCGCTCAGCGCTTCTCCCTGCCCCCTCCAGTCCTAGCCAAGCCCCATTTGGAGCAAACCTCTTGCTTTGGCAGGAGGGAAGTGGGGATGGTGAAAGGGTGAGCAAGGCTGGACTGAGCCCTGGGCACCCCTTGGTCCACCAAGGGCAAGGGATCCCCATGATGACGGGAAGGGGCCTGAAGCAGAGCAGGTGGGTGCTCCTACTAGCGGGCTCCAGCACCGGCCTGACACCCACTGTGCAGAAGGGGGAGCTGCTGGAGCCAGCTCCTGGGGAGGTGCCCAAACCCAATGCCCAGGGCCACCCTTGGGCTCTCAGGCCTGCTCCAGCCCGCTGGTCCCACTCACCGGGCCCCGGGGCGGCTCCTGGCGGACCCTGGTGTCCAGCTGTTGCTTTCGAACCTCTCCCCCGGAGCTCTCCCCCACCAGACGGCTGGGCTCTGTGACCTCAAGGGCTTCCTGGCCCCCTAACTGGGGTGAGACCCCCCAGCGCAGAGCTCCGACAGGACCCCGGGTCCCAAGACCTGGGAAGACAAGGCCACAGCTGCAGGCAGATGCCCACGGCGAGACAGGAGACTTGGGGATGGGGCAGGCACCGCACCCCGCTCCGGTGTGACCCCTGAGCCCTCGACCTGGGTGGGAGGATGCGCTGCCTGCAGCGGGAAGAAGCCGGTGGGGAGGGGGCCCCGGGCTTCACGCCGGCCCGGCCGTCACGACCGCCCCCCCAGCCCGCAGAGCCCCGCAGCGCCGGCCGGCGGCAGGGGGTGGCCGCGGCGGGGCGGGCCGGCGGGGGACAGGTGGGTGCGCGCACCCTCCCTCCTCCTCCCGCGGCCCCCGCCTCCCGCGCCCCGGACCGGCTGGCACCCCAGCGCTGCAGGGAAATGTGGCTGCAGCAAAAACCGCCGCAAAGCCGGGGCGGGGGCAGGGAGGGGGCGCCGGGCCGGGGTCACTCACCCGGCGGGGCCAGCAGCGGCAGCAGCAGCAGCGCCGCGAACGCCCAGCGCCGCAGCCGCCTCATGGCTCGCTCATAATCCTGGGTCCGGGGCTGCGGCTGCGGGCGGCGCGGGCGGCGGGCGGCGGGCGGCGGGGCGGGCGGGGAGGCGCCGCCGGGATGGGCGCGCGGGCGGGGGCGCGGGCGGGGGCGCGGGCCGGGGCTGGGGGCGCGGCGGGGGGGGGCGCCCGGCTCAGCGCGCTCCGGCCGCGGCCATCCCGGCGGGGCGCGGGCCGGGTTAAGAGCCGAGCGGCGAGCACGTGAGCGCCGGGCCCGCCCCCGCCCCCCGCAGGCCCCCCCAACCCGGCGGGGCCGGGGCCGCCGCGACGGGAGGACAAAAGAGGCGCCGCCCCGGGGCCGGCCTTCCGGCACCGCCTCGGCCCCTCGGCAGGTGCGGGCTGCGCGCGCCCCGGCCCCTCGCTGCGCCCTGCGGGTGCACCCCTGGCTTGGGGAGCTCCGACGTGTAGGGGGAGGCCGGCCGGGGACGGAGTGTCCCCCGGGCTCTGACCTGGCGGCTGCTGGGCGGGGGACCCGCGCGACCAGGTGCGGGGGCGTGGCCGCCCTCCGGGGTTCGCCCCTCGGGCGGGGACCTAGGACAGCGCCCGCCGGCCCCAGCCCTGAGCCCCCGGCTGGGGAGGGGCGCGGAGGCTTGTTGGGCGCATCGCCCGCTCGGCCTCCGGACCCCTCGCCCACCTGCGGCGGGACGGGTCCCCTCCGAGCCCGCCCACCCGCGGCGGCGTCCTGCCGGCTCCTCTCCCCGCCAAGGACGCCTCTGCCCCGGGAGGGCCGCAGGGAGGGCTGTCACCGGGGCCCCCAGGAGGGGCTGCCTGGGCTTCTGGGCTGAGGGCCTCCTGCAGGGCACCCGTTCTCCCCCCAGATACCCTAAACTAGGCAAGTTAGACGTTGTAACGCCTTTCTGCCCCTTGCTTCACAGCCCCGATCTTTGAGGCGCAGAAGGCCCCCAGCTTCTCCCTAGGATGCAAACCTCCTGACCTAGCTCCGCCGCTGTGCCCCCCAGCCTCGCTCCTCGGTTTCTGCCAAGAAGGATTTCCACACCGAGGGCTGGGATTTCTGACCTCTGCCCAGGAGCCCACCGGGCAGAGACCCAAGAAGGGGGAGGTGCAGTAGGACCCCACCCTAACCTTTCCCCAAGACCAGAGCATCCTCACACCCATGCCCGGAGCCCGCAGGCCACTGAGGAACAGGAGTGGAGGCAGGGAACCCCTTCCTGGGTGTTCTGCCTCCCTGGGGACCCAGGGCCTCTGCCAGGGATGGGGAAGCTGCCTCTGGCTCGTGACAGGCCCCCCCAGCTCTATTTTAGGCCCAGGAGAGGTGAGAAGGCGATTTCCCGGGAGGCGCTGACATCAATGCTGGGAACGGGGTGACTCCCCTCCCCCTCCAACCACCTGCCACTCCAGACCCAGATGCTCAGCAAGGCTGAGCCAATTGTTCCTTCATTCTAGAGACATCTGGAAAAGGGGGTAAAGGTGCGTGTGGGGGGGTACCTGGGAATGAGGACCTAACATGTGATATTCCCTGAAACCCACAATTACCCCGGAGGGAGACTGCTCATTTTTCAGGTGGGGAAACTGAGGCTCAGTGATCTTTCCAAGTCATGCTGTGGGTCAGTGAGAGGTGCATCTTACACTCTAGGTGGGCACCCCTGTCCCCTCCTCCACCTTCTATCGGCGACTTATATCAAGGTCAGATACCTCTAGTCCATTTCTCCCCCAGCCCCACAGCAAGGTGAGTCCCTCTTGCCCCATCAGTGCCATGTTTTAGGGCCACATGAGTGAGCCCTGAGCAGGTATGCCTTCTTAAAGGACAGGTAGGGGGGCCCTGGGCGAGCCTGGATCCCCTTCTCCAACATGCCCAAGACCACACAGCAAGCCTGTGGCCCAGGCCTCCTAGCTGAGGCACATTTCCACCACTTCTGTGGTCCTGGTTCCTGGGCTTTCCTATTGGGGGTTCTTCCTGTCTCCACCCCCCCACCGTGACTCCTTTCTGATGGCATTCTGGGCCAACTCCAGTGGGGGTTCAATTGTCTGGTCCCTTAGCTCCAAGGACTTCCTTTCTCCCCATCTCCCGGGGCCGTCAGTCAGAGCAAGCCCAGTCAAATCGCCTCTGGCCACACCCAGGTCTACAGCCCCAGGCTTTCCCCCAGCCCTCCACCCGCTTGTCCTCCAGGTTGGCTCTGCTACCCATGCGTTTGCTTGTGCACGAACACGATGCTTGCTTCAACGCCCTCGCCCACCTACCCTCCTGAGCTTGGGGGCTGTCCTCAAAGGCTGAGCTCCCTGAGGTTGTCAGCAGTGAGGCTCCCATCAGCCTGGGGCTTCACGTGGGCAGGGATCGTGGCCTCCTTCAGACCTGGATCCTGATAGAGGGATAGCTTTCTCCTTAAATTGGGGCTCCTGAGGGCAGGGCCTGTGTCTTTCCCTCAAGCAGGAGTGGGGGGTCTCTCAGGAATCCTCCCCCAACCCATCTGCTACAGCAGATTCCTTTGGTCTCTTCTGCCCATCATTTGCTTTCCCCAGGAGGCAGCCTGGGCACTCTGGAAATCAAGGGCTGGTGGCCACTGTCTTAATGCCTCCCTGGGGAGCCCTTGCAACTCAGGATATCTAGGGCCTCCTTCCCCCTGAAGTTCCTTCTCCCTTCAGCCAATTCTTCCCTCAAATTCTCCTGCATGGGGGCCGAGTTGGGCTGATGTGGGGCCAAGGCAGCTGCAGGTAAGGGAGGGGTGTTGGTCTCCTTCACGCCCCCTTGGGCCAGCACGATGAGCGATAATTTCGGCCAAGAGATGCCATCAGGCACTGAGCCTAGCCTGCCAGGCCTGCGGCAGAGACCACACCAGGAGAGGGGGCAGGGTGGCGCAGGGGAAAGTGCAGGATGCAGGGGCCCCCATCCCAATTTAGAGCTGTGTGACCTTGAGCAAGTCCCCTCGCCTCCCTGAGCCTGGGTTTCCTCATCTGTGAAGTGGGGGTTGGAAAAGCCCTCCTTCAGTGTAGCTGGCCGCGGGTCTGTGAATACAAGGCCCAGTGCTTGGAGCACTCCCCGCCAGGCCCGCACTACCAGGCCCATGCGCCTGGGATGCCAAGGAGAAAACTTGGGGCTTCCAGCCCCAGGGGCTTTTTTATGACTTGGGGGCCTTGGGACACTCTATCCAGACTCTGCCTGGTGATACGATGCTGAGGGGTGGGGAGCAGAGGGACAGAAAGTTCATCCTGCTTCTCCCGCCACAGCCCAGCCCAGCCCCCTATCCTTTCAACAGGAAACGTCCACTCTCACCAAATAGCCCCTTGAGGAAGCCACATGCCCTTCCTTTGGGCTGTCAAAGTCGAGTGACCCCCCTCCATTAATCTCCAAAGCTCTGAGGCCTCCCTCAGGGAAGAGGTGGGGGAGCTGAGGTGCCAGAATCCCAGGGATACCCATCCTTGAAATTTTTAGTGCACAAATGTAGTCATGCCCCCAATCCACCGCCCTCTTCTCCCACACAAAAGATCCTCCTGGACATCTGGAGAGTTGACCCTTAAAAGGAGGGGGAGCAGAGATGGGCTATTTCACTGCACCCCTTAGCAGCTTCATCCACAATTTACACTGGAGATGGGGATGCCGCTCAGAGTCATCACAGTAAACTCTGCGAGTGTCTGAGAGGGAGGGAGGCTTCACAGGCGCATGCACGTATGTTAAGTTAGTTGCTGAATTACAACGTGCTAAGTGCCTCACAGACATACCTGGCGGGATACTTGTGACTTCCTACTGCTACCTCCATTTTTCAGATTAAGAAAACACATTCAGGAGTTTGGCAAAGGTCACAGAGTTAAGTGGCAGGACCTGGATTTGAACTCAGGCCTGTGTGGCCGGAAGGCTCACACTATGGGCTTCGTGGAGAATATGGATCCTGTGCCTTGAAGAAGGGGGTGTACTTGTCGCCAAAGAACATTCCAGATCAGGGGTTGGATGTATTTCGTGGTCAGAGCCAAGTGCATCCGTCCAGCCCACCACACCAGCTTGGGAGGAAGGAGGTGGCAGGGGAGGAAAGCAGGGCAGGGCTGAGGGGGGAGGTCTTCAGGGGGCAGGAGGATGCAGGGAGACTGCTTGGCTGGCTGAGGGGCAGGAGCGAGAGGATGCCAGAGTCACAAAGACAAAGCGGGGTGGGGGGCAGGCTTAGCTGGAGAGGTGAGTTTCTAGATCATGGGTCGGAAGTGCGGGCAGCACAGAGGAACTCAAGAGCTGTGTTGGAGGTGATGCTGTCTCAGAAATACCATAGAGGAAACGGAGGCCCAGTGGGGTTAAGGGACTTTCCCGAAGCCCCAGTGTGAGTTGGGGTGCAGCTAGATCTCTTGCCTTCCCACCCAGCACAGGTGATGGTTAATGTTTGGATGGAGTCACCCCTTGCACAGAGGTCCCAGGTTGGGGAGGCAGGAGGCCGGAAGGCTAGTGAGGCGCAGTGCTCAGGGTGCACACCTGAAGCCTGAGGGTGAGTGGATGTGCAGGGGAGTCTGGGGAGGGCAGGGGCTGGCTGTGTGGGGTCACTGGGGATGAGGAGCCAGGCTTCAAGAAGATGGAAAAGGAGAAAAGGAACCTGACTTTGGTCATTGGCAGGTTAGCTGGTGACCTTGGGATGGACAAGTCCAGCGGAGCGCTTCAGGCTGGGCACCGCGGAGGTTTGGAAGAAGGAGGTGCAGACACGGAGGCAGCGGCTCTAGACCGCAGGAAATTGCCAGAGAACAGGAGGAAGCTTTCTTCAAGCTGCTGAATCAATGCAAGTGTTTTCCAGGATGGAGTCCCATGGATTTTGGGCAGAGGGGAGAGATGGTGAAGCCGAGAGGAGGAAACTGCCCAGGCTGGACCCGGGTGGGCTGGAAATCTCAAGGACAGAGGCTGGGGAGAAAAAGGAACTTGGAAAGAGGGATAAATAGATGTTGAAGGGGAACTGAGAACAGGAAGTGGCAGTGCCTGCTGCGGCTGTCAAGGTCATTAGCTAAGAGGGAGAGAATGGAAGGCTTGAAGTCTTCACTGAGGGGCCTGCTTGAGGGGTCTGTGAGGTCAGTGTCAAGCTGCACCCATCTGTCCTGAGTGTCTCAGGTGTCATGCATAAAACTGGGGTGTAGGTCAGAGGTGTTGGGGGTGAGAGGATTCACCAGAGGGAATGGGGAGCAGAACAGGAGGATCCACTGAAATACACTGCTGAGGGGAGCAGCGGGGGAGACAGGAGAGGTCTGCTGCACCATGTGGGTAGCTCCCTGGCCGGGGATCAAACTCAGGCCACAGTGATGAAAGCATGATAGTGCTGAGACTTAACCCGCTAGGCTACCAGGAAGGCCCTGAGATCCCCCTAAATCTACATGCTGGGAGCTGGAAAATGTCCGGTGCTGCAGCCTTGGGGCCAGGCCTGGCTGAGATGTGCCCAAGGTCACAGTGGCTGAGGCGGGAGGGGAAGGCCACAGTGGGCTGAGAGGTGGGAGAATGGGTCCTGGACAGCTGGCAATGAGGGTGTCAGAAGCGGGCCTTGGGTGAGCGGCACATGAGGGTGTACAGGGAGGCCTGAGAAAGAAGTGGCAGGCAAACTGCTCATCCAGAGGGGCGGCTCACAGGAAAGGCGGAGAGGACCAGGCTTCGGCCAGAGCGATGCAGGGGCAGGGCCCACTGGGAAGCCCCAGACCCGGGGAAGGCAGAGCAGGAAGGAAGAATGCCCCTTAGGGCAAAGGCGCTTCCTGAGCCCCGGGGTGGGGGGGGGCAGCAGAGCCCCAAGAGCGACTGGAAGAGCTGGGCTGGATGGGCGGGTGGCTCCTGCTCCCCTCATCCTATTTCCTCTGCTGGGCCCTCGGGTCACGCGGGGGTGGGTCAGGCCCCACGAGCTGCACTCCAGCTCCTCTCTTTGCCTTGCTATGAAATTTATTTCCATTTCCTAAACCAAGACTGTGAAAGTTAACAGGAATGGCATAAAAGGGCCAAATATGACCTCTGCGAGGGTTGTACACACAGTTGCTCTATTTCCAAACTGACAACTCAGGTCCTCACCCGCAGCCAGGCCCCCCTTTCTTCCTCCAAAAGGAGACAGAGAATCGCACCAGGCTTCTGGTGGCTTCAGCATTTAAAGAGACAAACACACAGGCGAGCAGGACGAGAACCACAGCATGGAAGGTAGTAACAATAAAGAAAAAAGTGGCCAAAGAATCGATAGCAAACCCATCTGTCTCCAGATCAATGGCGGCTGAGACAGGGGGAGAGGTGCTCAGGGAGGGAGAGGCACAGGTTGGCAGGTGAGCCATGACCCTGAACAGAACTCCAGGTGAGCACCAGGGCTGAGGAGGCAGAGAAGAGCAGGGGGGGCGGGGGGGGTGTCCTCAGACGGGGCTGTGGCCACGTCCTAGGCTCAGGGGAGAGGTCAGTGCTGGGGCCCCAGCAAGTGCGGTGGGGAGGGAGCTCTAAGTGCTGCAGCCCAAGCCCCTCCTCTGCTTCATATGTTCCTGAGGATCTGTGTGCACCAGCGTGGGGGGCTGGGGGAGGGGACACAGGCGTTCAGGAAAGCAGGAGAGCCACATGCTTGCTCGGAAGGGGAACAGCGGCAGCGCACCCTCTGGGCTCTGCAAAGGCAAGTGCCTGCAGAAGCCTGGAAGCCAGGCCAAGGCTCTTGCTGCTCTGGCTTCTTTGTGGTTCCTCCCTCTGCCTCCTGGCTAGGGGCAGCTGGCCCCAGCTCCAGCCATCCTAGAGTGCGGCTGGGTAAGGGACATGGCTGGAGGCCAGCATAGGAGAGAGTCTGGGTCCCACCCAAAGACCCAGTGGGTGGGAGCACTGCCTCTGCGGACCCCAGCTCTATGGAGCTGCCTCAACAGCCATTCACTCGACTTGAAAGGCTGGGCCTGGGGCTCCTGCTCGGCTCTTGGGGAAGCCATGGGTGCCGCATCTCCAGTGTCGGGCACTCTGCTGGGGTGTGCAGCACAATGCATAGGTAGAACCTGTACCTGAACACCTGGAACTGTCTGGCCTGTGAAGAGCTGTGGGCCCTGGGAGACTCACAAGAGCAGTTCTCTGTTCACACTGGGCTGGGGTGAGGAGACAGGAATGCAGGGCCCTGGGAGAGGCTGGGGGGCCCAGAACCACTGGGAGCAGCTGTCTCCCCGCTGGCGGGCACAAGGTCGGGGAGAGAGGTAGACTGGCGCTCCCCAGGTACCCCTGGGGTCTGCGGGCCAGCAGCTGAGGGCAGGTGGGCTGACAGCTGGCCAGGAGCTGCGGGGCAGCTGGGGAGCTGGTCAGCTGGCTGGGGGGCAAGGTCAGGGGCTGCACACTCAGAATGCTCAGATCCTGGGGGCCATCCTTCCCCAGGTGAGGGGGGCTGTGTTGCCCAGAGCTCTGCTGGCCTGTCTGTGGGCTGCCAGGGGAAGGGGTCTGGGAGGGAGAGGCAGGTCTTCACGTGGCACAAAGGCAGGAGGGAGTGGGGAGACCTGGGCTCATGGCCCGGAAGGGGAAGGGAGAGAGGCCGGCCACTGGCTGTCCTGGGGCCACAGGGGCTAGAGGCCCTCAGGGAGAAGAGCGAGGGCCCTGGCTTCTTCTCGGCATTGCCACCAGGGGATTGAGCCTTCCGCTTGTGACCAACAGGCGCCAGGTCTGGGCCAGATGAGAGGTCCGTAAAACCAGAGCTGGTAAGGAGGCACTGGCAAGCAGGGCTCCTGGACGCTGGTGTCCCTGGGGGGTCCACAAAGACATCAGCTGACCCGTCCAGCTCCTGGCAGTGCGTTACTGGTCCAGGTGTCTCGTCCGACTCCACAAGTTTGACTGATGCCTTCCTGCTGCCCAGTGTCCCATCCTGCACTGGGGTACTGGGGGGCTGGTGTTCACATTCTTCCCTTATCCCAGGAGAGGCGGCCCTGGGAGGGGAGGGCTGGCTGGGAGGTGGAGTCTCCGGACACAGAGGGTCACAGTCTGAAGCCGCGGAGCCTGGCTGCCTGTGGGGAGAAGCACCCAGTGGGCCACAGGGCTCAGCTCCAGCACAGATCCTCTGCGGGGCTGAGCGCGGGGAGGGCCAGGGCACCGTGTGGCTGCCCTCAAGCTGTGGTGTGCTGAAGCGAGTCGTCCACTCTGGGGCTCTTCGGGTCTGACCCTGCAGCAGAGGCTAGAGCTGCTGTACCGCTCTTGGGCTCTGTGGCCTGTGGTCAGCCCTGGCCAGAGGAACAGGTTAGAGGCTGTTCCATTTAATAACTTCAGAGGAGGCTGTGCCCTTTGGTGGCTGAGAAAGCAGAGGAGCCTGGCTGTGCAAGGCAGACTTGGGGTGAGAGGTGAAGCCAGCGTGCCTTGGTGGGCAGCAGGAAAGCTGGGCTCCGGGACTCGGAACTTCCCCCACCACTTCTAGACAGGCACATGACTAGGCACAGGCCAGGCATGCCAACCGCTGATCTGTTCTTCCTGCCCCCTGCCATGGCAATGCCCATGTGTATTAGGGAGGGAGTCACTAGCTCGTCTGCGCCCAGGCCCAGTTGGCTGGAACCACAACAGAGGACTTTCTCCCAAAAATGGGAGGAAAAGGGCAAACCGCCATACCCTGTGGCTGCCAACCAAAGGGTCTCTTTCCACCGGAGAGGGTGGGAGGAGAATGACAATGGTTGTGCCCACCAGCCCTGGTTTTGGCAGCATGGCACTCACCTAGGGTGGCTGGCCCGGGGTGCGATGTCTACAAAGCTGTGGTTGAGCCAGGCAATGAGCCGGTCAACTTCTGCATATGGCTGGGCTTCTAGGGCAAAGCCCCGGTGCCCGGCGCTCTGGAGATGCTGCCGGGACAAGAGGAGGCAAAGGGTTAGAAAGGGCCAGGGTGGGACCCAAGGAGAACCCAGCTGGGGACTAGGTGGGAAAGACACCCTCAGAAGCATGCAGAGCAGCTGCTCAACGGGAGGCTCACCCCATGGAGCTCCTCAAAGGCCTCCTGGCAGCACTCACAGTAGCCCTTCTTCTTCCGGGGCCTGGCGCGAACGGTCGAGGGCAGGCTGGGCTCTTGGGCCTTGGGTTTTCTGAAGAGGAAATGGGTGGGGGAAGTGGTCACTGCCAGGGCTCTCAGAGGGGGAGCTGCAGGCGAGGCAGGCCCAGGCAGACTTGCCTGTCCTTGGGACCAATCATGCAAGGAGTAGCAACCAAGAAGGCGAGACCACCCTGTCCCCGCTCTGTCCTCTCCCTGCCCACATCTCAAACCACACGCGGAGGTGGCAGCAAGAATACTTCACGGGACAATTCCAGTTCTGGGCTGGTACCCACGGGCATCTGAACTGCACAGCTGCCACCTTCACCGTGGACATTCAACTCTCTCCCTTCTGGCTTCTCATCTGAATGGCAGTCTGCATTTCTATGGGCCTCTAGGGCAACTGCTGTGTGGCTGTCCCAGCAAACTCAACAAGTCCCAAATATTCCCCTGCAGGACTAGCTGCAGGACACAGAACTCAGAAAGCAAAAAAAAAGCCAATAAATTCAATTACATACAACTAGAAAAGACGCCCAGCAGAAAACAAGCAAATCCATACAACAGAAAACCGTCTAGTGTAAAGGGAATGAGGAGGCTCTTGAGGTGCTGACAGGAAATTAATCTAAGATATATTAAGTGGAAAAAGCAAGCTCGAGCACTGTGACGAGCACACCAGCCTTGATGTAAGAAGAGAACAAAGCCACACGCGCTATCTCTGGAGATAGGCCCAAGATCCAGAGCCAGGAGGACGGGCGTGGAAGAGACTTCTCACTTTAAACCTTTTGTAACTTTCAAATTTGAACCAAAATATAATAATTTAAAAATAAAAAAAAAATTAAACATTTCTTCCCACACAGACTTTCTGACACACACACACAGACACACACACACCCCCGGAGCCTGGGGCAACCAGCTCCCTCTATCCTATTCGTGTCACATGCAGATGCCAAAGCTTTATTGCTCCATCAATTCCCCTACATAACCTCTCAACTCCTCCGCCACCCCAAGGTCATCGCAGGCCTAGTACCACCTCCTGGCTCCAAGCCCAGACCACCTCCTGGCTGGCTCTCTCTGGCATCCCTGGTACCTTCTGGAAAAGTATGAAGGGCCCCTGGTCTTAACCTCAGCTCCTTCTCTCCTACCTCCCTGCTCTGTCTACTGCCCTATTTCCTGTTTTTTTTCCTTCCATTTCCTGACTGGTGGCCTTTGTCTGCTGCTGGAACACAGATCCTTGGAGCTCTCAGGCCGAGTCTGCCCTGTCCTACTGTCCCAGTCTATGAACTAACGCTGTGGCCAGAAGTTAGAAAAGGTCTGAGAAGCATCTGGTGCATCACCTGAGCCACGTTTCTGCTGTACGTTGGTGAGTACAGGTGCAAATCCTCAAACATCAGCAGAGGAGGGTAGGCCATAAAATGCAGGTCCCTTACATCTTAAGTTACTCCTGATATTTAGCCTAACAGGCCTCAAACTTTGTCATGCGCTGAAATCACCAGGGGCCCTTGTGAGAATGCAGTTTTTGAGGCGCCATCATCAGAGACTGCAATTTTGTAAGTGTGAAGTTCAGGAACATGTATTTTTTTATGGGGACCCAGGGGATTCTCATGACATTGGCTTATATTTCAGAAACCAGCCGATTGTCCTCTATACACTTAGGTCCAATTTTTCAGTAGGGATGGAGAACACCAAATAAAACAGATGAACATTCCTAGCATCTCTCTTCTCTGGGCTAAGTTCCCAGAATAGACTTCGCCTAAAGAGCTAACACATGGCCATTCCCAAATCTGACCAGCAGGCTCCCGGGGGGGAAGGACTTTGGCCTGGAACCAGCCCTTGGTACCAGGAACCTGAGAGACCCACCTGGCATGATGCGAGCTGCCTGGGATCGTCGGGGCCTCAAAAGGACTTGCATCTTTGGGTCCCAGAAAAGAAATTTCAGGAAAGGATTTAAACTGATGGTGGAAAGGACGAAACTTCCTGCAACACAGAAAACTTCCATTTTGACTACAGTGGGGAAGGGGAGGAGGATGGGGGCCAGCCCTCTCCCAAACGTCAACCCTGGTGAAGTAGAGTCTCACCGTCACATCTCCTAAGTTCTGAAGCACAACTCCCACCGGTCTTTTTTTTTTTTTTAAGATTTATTTATACAAGCACTGGGTACAGTCAGAAGTGCGGGAGGGTGAGAGAATTCACCAGAGCCAGAGCGGGGAGCAGAGCAGGCAGAAGGACCGAAGTACACTGCTGAGGGGAGCAGCGGGCGGCAGGAGAGGTCTGCGCGCCATGTGGGACCCTCCTCCGGTGGCCGGGGAGCAGCCGGGGATCGAACTGGTGCTGCAGGGGCTGCAGGCAGCTTTGCAACCCAGGGCTCAACCGCTGCGCCACCGGGGAGGCCCCTCCCACTGGTCTTATTAGGTGAGAAAAGCACTGTGCGCTCCCTGTCCACCCGCACTGCCTCATCTCAATCTCAGCACCCGCTTCCCAGCTGAGTGGAACAAGTGGCGGCTGGATTTTATACAAAAGGAAAAGAAGGTTCTGGGATTTGCCTGAAGGCTCATGACTAGTAAGTGGCCAAGACCAGGCTGAAGCCACCTGTCCCAGCTCCTGACTATTTCTTTCCAGCAAACTCGGTGGGTATCCAGCAAACTCTGCTGAGGTCACTGCCAGTACACCATGTTTGGCTGCATAGGCCTGTGCTCAGGGGACAGTGTAGGCCTTAGGCTCCTTCCTGGGTGGTGAGAACCCTGTGGCCTCAGGAGTAAAATAACAAGTCTTCTTGGGCCCTTGAGAAGGTGCTTTTCAAAACCCTAGCCCCCCTTTTCTTCCTTCTCAGTGTTTCTGCATAGAACTCTGGGAAGTTGAGGATGGTCAGGCTAAGGGACTTTAAGAGGCCCTGCTTCAAGACAGCACATGAAAAGAATCACAAGAAGTGCCAGCTCTCTTGCATATGCCAGGGATGCACGAGCATTGTACCTGGCTTCAGTGACAGCGACACTGCCATGTGCAGTGAGACACTGGGGCATTAGTGGTGCCCCTAGGCTGCTGTGGACAAGTCACGACTACCGGGACTGAACTGGCCACGGAGGGTCAGGTGCTAAAGAATGCGTCCCACCAGAACCGGGCGAGAGCGCCACGTCACCATTCTGGGTTCCCTTCATTCACAGTGCGGTCCCCAAAGCCCATGCAATGTGCAGGTGTTGGGAAAGTAACTGAGGCCCCTCTGGAGGATGCCTGGGCGTGCCAAGCTCCCAGGGCTACGTCCTTAGCTTTACTGCCTGAGGTTGAGGGTCACCAAATCCTGGTCCAGGTAGTTTCTGCTGGACAGACAGGTCCTTTTTATTTAAACTTTTTAATTGTGAGATCATTATCACATGGACTTTTGATCTGGTACTCACTGAGCTCCTGATAATGCAGGTGGCTAACCTCGGATCCGGTTATCATCAGTGTGACCGCCCTGCTCGAAGGGGCCCTAGCGGTAGGTGGTAAGGCAGGTGGAGAGGCCGCCAGGCAGGACAGTGAGAGCGCCTGGGCTTGGGCTCCGAATCACTAGCCAAGCCACAGTGTCTACGTCCCTTAATTCTCTGACCCCTGGGAAGAGCAAGCCAGAAAGTCATCTTCAAGTACAAGATGGTCTGACAAGGGGCTCCCTTCCCCCACCCCAGTGCCCTCACATCAGCCCAGATAACTGTTCTAGCACTGCACTGGGGCTAGTAGGGTGTCCGCGTGCACCTAGAGGGAAATGAAGAACGACCAGCCTGGGCAGGATGTCAGGAGCTCCTAACAGCAGAGCATTAGAGGGAAAAAATTTGCACCCAGGGTGATTAACCTCTGACTCGTGACCAAGAGGAGTGTCAACAGTGCAATGCCACTTTCAGAGGCTCCTCTGGCCCACATGAGGTTTCTCCACGATGCAGGGAGAAAGCAGTTTCAGGGAAAGACAAAGGTGCAGGCCTGCTGAGGTGAGGTGAGAGATCCCACTTACCTGCTCTCATCTTCGATTTTGAGGAATGGAGCCTTCAATCTGGCCACTGCAAAGGAGGACGCAACATTAGCCCGCACTGCACACAGGCGTGTCCAGAGGTGCGGCTCTGCCAAAGCATGAGAGCCTCTCGCAGCAGAACACTCGCTGCAGAGGCGAGGCGCCCACTTACACCTCCTCTGGTCTCTTCCCTGGGAGGAAGAGTTTTACTACTGGGGGGAGGATAAGAGTGTACCAAGACCCTCAGCAGAATGCAGGCCCCCCCGGGTATGGGTTCTCAAACTGTCCACAGACCACTAGAAAGCAGGCTGGGAGAAACCCCAGCCTCTGTCAGCTTCTGCTAAAAGCCACAGGCTTTCCAGACTTTCCTCCTGGTGCCTCAGAATCCTGATGGGCCTGAGGACACACCTCAGACAGGATTCTGTGTCAGGGATTTTTAGAGAGGGGTGGAAAGATAATTAGAGTGTTTAGAGAGCTTAGCAGAAGGACAGTAAAAAAAAACATCAAGGGTGAAATAGGGCCCCTCAGAAAATAGGGCAAAGGGTGCTGGGAAGACAAATTTGGAGTCAATTAGTTAAGAGACTCCCCTCTGCCCTGCAAGCCTGCTACCTGCACAGTTTACAAAACCTCTCAGGCACCGAGAACCACTTAAACTCCCTATGGTTACTACAGTCCTGTCAGAGGGGCAGCCAAGGCAGGCCAGAAGCTGGGCAGAACTAACAGCCACCAAATCTCCAAAGAGCTGGCAACACATGGCTCCCAGGCCCACACGAGGCTGCTGCTAGCACCCCAGCAAAAACCAGCTTTATTCTTTGAGCAGCAGCTCCCATTAATTACTTTTTGGGGGCGCTTTCTTGTCTTTCTAATTAACTGACAGTGATTAAAATCCATTCCCCCACAGATTTCCTTGAATTTTGAACATGAGAGGTGCCAAGTGACTTTTCTTAGCTTCTGCTTGTGCACGAATAAATGCCACTTAAAGAGCATCTTTGGAAGAAACATCCAGGGGGAGAATCTCTCCTGCTGTCCAAGAGGAGCCAGGAGACGAGTCCGTCAATCTGCCTGTTTGTCAATTTCAGGGAGTTTGGCATTTCCGAAAGTGGTAGGCAGCTGTCAAACTGCCCACCCCAAACTGCTCCTGAATCAGAGGGAAAAGGATGCTGAACTTCAGTGTGTGCCCAGGGATGGCCAGAGGACGTAGGAGCCAGGAGACCACATGGGGTCTTGAAACTAAGCAGACGCCCCAGTTCAGCAGCTCTGGACCTGCTCTCGGATGCCCCTCTCAGAGCCCAGGCCCTGGAGACACCACAGGGCAGCACAGCCTGGACTCACTTCCTGCCACAGAAAAGTGAGCAGATGCTGCCACAGAGGGAGCCATGGGGCAGCGTTTAGGGAGGGCGGGATTGCAATTAGATAAGGAAAACTACCACACTGACCTTTCCGCGTTCTTGACTCTGCTGCTGGACCTGTTCCCTGAACGGGAAGGGAAAATAGGTTAAGGATGTGAGGGAGCCAGGGGGGTCAGGAACTGGGCCCAAAGAGCAGGTCGCTGTGAGTCTGGCCCACTTGCCTCCTGTCACAGGCTGGGCCTGAGCTAGAGCAGACTGCGCAGTGACACATTCACCTCCCCAGGGACCTGACGAGTGTGGAGTGCTGGGCACGTGTCTCAACAGCAGCTGACTTTGTGGTGGGACCTCAGGACAGAGCCGAGAGCACAGCTGTGGTCCACAGGCCTGGACGGCCCCCAGTGTGAGCAGCACCCACCTGCCTCGCCGGATGTGGTGACCGGAGACAGAGCAGGCGCTCATTCACTGGCAGCTGGTGTCGTCTGGGCCCTGCTGCCATTGTGGGTCAGCTTACGGGACAATCCTATCTGCTTTCCTGTGCCCTACCCTGTGTACCGGGGCTCCGTTGGGCAAAACCAACAATTAGGGCAAGGTCAAAGTTAATATTAAAAACAAAATGGAACAAATTGGAAAGTCAGTTAAAGAGTCGGGGGTTGGGATTTGATGGTCTGTGCCTCTGTATCCAAGAAAGTTCCAGATTCCCCTCCAGGTCACACCTCCAGGGCAGACACAACACAAAGCCTTCATATCCCCCTCGAATATCAACAGACTGTACCCAGAACTCACTCCCAAAGACTCCCAAGTACCTACAAAATAGATTACTAAGCAAATAAAGCAAAGTAAAAATACCGCAAATTTGCATAAAAGGGAGACATTTTTGGCATGTATGTTTGTATATGCCTGGCATTCTGGAAAAATACCTGAGAAACTAGTCACAGTGCTTATCTGGGGAATGGACCTTGGTGGCTACAGAACAGAAATTAGGGGGGAGACTTTCAGTGTATATTCCTTTGCATTATGAAAAGTGCAAATTTAGGGCCTCCCTGGTGGCACAAGGGTTAAGACGCAACCTATGAAGCTATCCGCAGCCACTGCAGCCCAAGTTTGATTCTTGTCCAGCTAAGGAACAACCCACATGGCACAGCAGACCTCTCCTGACTCGCCCTACTGCTCCCCTCAGCAGTGTACTTCGGTCAATCTGCCTTTTCTGTTCCCCAATCTGTCTGTGGTGAATCCTCTCACCCCCCACACCTCTGGCCTGTACCCCAGCTCTTGTATGCATAAATAAATAAATCGTAAAAAAAAAAAAAAGTGCAAATTTATTTAGCAGCAGTAGCAGCAAACCCCAAAGACTCCCAGGCCAGAGGGAGTGGAGTGAGGGGTGCAGAGGCAGAGCCATCTGATTTGCATGTGCTTTGCAATAGGACTGTTGGTCCTGCTCCTGGGTGCCGGGCCCTGGGGGGATCTGCGGGGCTTGAACTCTCCTCCGATTTAGGTTGGGTGAAAACCCTAAGGTTTTAAACCAGCTGGGGCTCTCCTGATATGGCACACAGTCCTATTTCAGCAAAGAAAGGATAAGCCAAAGGAGAATTTGGAATATTACAGCTATTTCACTCCTGCCCATGCAGGTTCATGCTTAGGCAAAAGTCCCCCCCAGAGTGGCTGCCTGGTCAGCAGGCTTTCCTGTTAATTCAGTAGGATGACCTACCTCTGGCTTCTGTGGTCCTTGTTTCTTTACACATAAAGCATCAAGAGTCAGCTGCTGCACGTGCATCATCATTTCTGTGGAGAAAAGAGGGCTGAGGCCAACGGCTTCTACTCCTCATTTGCATAGCACAACCCCTTTCTGGGGCAGGAAGACTGAACCTCTCCCAGGGCATGGCTGGTTGGCTCACTCCAGCCTTGCCTGCCACCTTCTGGCTACGAGTCACCTCTGCACCTACTGATAAAAGGAAAGGGCTGGGGCTGCTACCCCCAGAAAAGCACTAAAGCTGGCTTTATTCTCTTTTTGGCCCTGAACACAACTCAGTTTTGAATAGGAGGTGCCTTGTGGCTCATGAGTGCTGTAAGGCGGCATTACTGAAGGGCTGCTTCTGTGGAAAGACCAAGTCTTGTGATTACACAGATGCAGCCTGAGGTGGAAGACCCAGCAGGGACGACGCATGTTGGAGTTATTTCAACACACAGGAAGGCAGGAAATTAGATGAGGTCAGAAATGGCTGATTTTCCAGGGGTGATGGCGCTCCCAGACCAGGACCTTCGGAGCCCAGTTCTCTATTCCCTGGCGGGTGTCAGACCAAAGGGCGAAGCAGCCTGGCCAGCCCCCAGGGCGTCCCTTGCAGATCCATTCCCTACAGCAACTCAGCTCCTCGCAGAGCAGGGGATGAGGCCAGCCGCTGGCAGCGACTCAGGACAGCTGCTCCAGGGTGCTCTGCTCAGAGCCTGCATGCCGGAGGCTATAGTGAGAGCAAACCCACAGAATAGAACATGGAATTGAACCAGGCCAACTAGTTTGGAATGGGGACCATGCTGTTCACTCCTGATGAGACTATGGATGATTTATTTAATCTGAGTTTCAGTTTTGTCTGTACAATGGGGAGAGGACTGCAGTGAGGATTAAATGAGGTTAAATCCATACATGGAGTAAATACCTGAGAATAAGTCATGGACACTAGGGTCATTTCCTTACTGTGAGACAGGGTCATCACGCCAGTCTGAGTGGGCAAGCGAAACCGCACGCCGCTGGACCAGCACTCCGCTATGTCACTACTGGTTTCTGGACCCTCCCAGTTTTGTGGCTCAACATGCTAATAGCACACTGGCTTCCCCCACCAGGAGCGCACACAGCACCAATCCCTAAGAGCAAGGATGTGCCCCTCCACAGGACCCCAGGGCAGAGCCAGTACCATCCACATGCAGAATCCTCACTCCCCAGGAACGGGCATTGATCAGAAGGCTGCTGCTCCCGCTGCCTCCCCCACTGCTGCTCCCCTGGAAAGACAAAGCAGAGTGAGGCAGGGGCAGAAGACTCCCCAAGACCCAGATACTAAGGGGACGGGTTGTCCTGGTTTCTGGGAACTCTGGGTCATCCACACAGGGGATGTGGTGGGGAGGCAGGCAGGATGAAGGGGGCGCCACACCTGGAGAATCTACCCCAAGTCCAAGGAAGACCCCACCCTCCACCCGGGCTATCACTCCAGGAAAAGACGACTTCTGATGCGCCTCTACACTCGGCCACCTTGTGACTGGGAAGGAACATATGTCTTCAGGAGCTGTTTGCAGGAGGGGTGCAGTGGAGAAAAGCCACCCCCCAGCAAATACCAGCACCACCACCAGCACCAAGCAGGAAACTTCTGGGCCCAGGTCCAGTAACACCAACTTCCCTCGTCAAAGCCAACACCTCCCCACCTGGATGTCACCTTAATGATGCCTCTTCCCACTTAACTGTAATGGCCCTGGATTCTCCCACAAAGAAGAAACAGCTACTTGTAAGACACACAAAGTCTGATTATATGCAGAACAGTCACGTCCCATAGCATCTCTCCAAGGTTATCCTGGTAGCTCTGCGCTTACAATGAGGAAGGACTCAAATCCTGGCCCTACCACTTCCACCCTGGGTGGCTCTGGGCAAATAACTCAACTTCTTTGAGCTGCACTTCCTCATCTGTAAGGGAACAGTGACAGCACTGGACATCTGACAGGGCACACAGCTTGTTAGTACTTCGTAAAACCTCAGATGAGAGCCAAAGTCCCCTCTGGCCAGAGGCCTCCACCTCCACCCCACCTCCCTCAGCTCACCTGGTTTCTGATGGCCTTCTGCAGTAGCTCCTTCCCTCTGCTCATAGGCACCTGACAGAAAAGAGGAGCAACGAGGTTTCAGTGTAAACTACCTGAACACAGATGTTTACACGGGAACTGGCTCGGAGGCCTTGGAGTCAAGTCCCTCAGAAAGTCAGGAGGAGGGACGGGAAGAAGGGGTGGCAGAAAGCCCTGAGAGAGAGCCCTGAGAACCTTTCAGAGGTAAAGATAAAGTCACACACCAGTACAGGTAACTCACAGGTAGCTGCAGCTGGCATCACGGGCCCTGGTGACGGGCATTCTGAATCCCATGGGGGTCAAGGTACAACAAAGTCCTAAGACCGCTCCTTGAGAGTTTCTGTGCTCTCGGGCAGATAATGTACAGCAAACGTTTCCCCTTAGAAATTAGTCTTTTCTGTGCTCCTAGGAAGTACTGTCCTTCATCGTGATCCCTAAAGTGCGTGTTCATGGATACTCGCACATTAGCCCAAATTAAACAATCAAAAGAACATAAACCTGGGGAAACAGTCAAAGATAAGATGTGGGGGCCTCCCTGGTGGTGCAAGGGGTTAAGATGCAACACTATGAAGCTATCCTCAGCCACTGTAGCATGAGTTCTATTCCCGGCCAGGGAGCTACCCACATGGCACAGCAGACCTCTCCTGTCTCGCCTGCTGCTCCCCTCAGCAGTGTATTTCAGCCAGTCTGCCTGTTCTGCTCCCCACTCTGTCTCTGGTGAATCCTCTCAGCCCCCGCCCCCCGCATCTCTGGCCTGCATCCCAGCTCTTGTATGCATAAATAAATAATTTTTTTTTTTTTTTTAAGTAAGATCTGTATTGCTGACAATGTTCCTAGACTGTTCTTTGTGAAGCAAAGGAGAAGGGACTCGCTGCCCCCTTGGGGCACTGCTGCCCAAGCCAAGTCCAACAAGCCCTCTCGGGTTTACAGAGGATCCTACTATTTCTGAGCCTCTGATTTTGAAGTCCCACAGTGAACATTCATCATAAGAGGAATAGCGCGTTGCTGAGGTGTTTGGTTCCAGGGCCCTGATAAAATATTCTTAGCCCCGAATTCAAATGAGAGATAAAATTAAACCAGATGAAACTAAACTCTGAGACGGCTAGAAGGGCTCGCTGAGCCTTATTTCCCTTTCCTACTCTGCAAAGTTCTTACCGAGTCTACAGGTTTCAGTGCAGGCCTGGCGGGGCCGCCTCTTGGACTGCCCGTGGCTGATGGTGTCTCTGCCCTGACCTTGCTGGGGCTGGGGCAGCCTCTGTGGCCTGTCCCACAGCTTTCTGCCTTCGCCTCCTTGCGGCTGGACACGATGTAACTCACTTCTCTGCTCAGAAAACCCTCAATTACCTGAAAGCAGATCACAGAGGTGGCTGAAAACCAAAAGGCAGATGTAGAATCATCAATATCAAGAGGTTGGGGAAGGAAGTCTTGGCTGCCACCAGTTCCAGAATCAATGTCTTTAAATAGGCCAAATGCAATTCTGTACCAAGCCCCCAAGAAGATATCATCTTAAAATATAATAGTGTTTATATAGAATGCAGATTTTTTTCTCTAGCAGCGCTGTTCCTGACCAATAGCAGGCCAGAGGCTTCGAATGATTTGACCGGTTTGAATACGCATGGAGAAGAGCACACTGAACGGACCGCACAGGGTGAAGAGCAGTGTGGTGAAGCCATGATTTTTCTAAGAAGACATACTGGAACATCCAGACACCACATCTGTAATCGTGACCACACTACCAAAAGGGGCCTAAAATACAAACAAAAAGGGTTCGACTACTCATCATCCACAAAGGAGTCTGCTCTGATGACTCCTTTGGGCACTGAGTGGGTGTGTCTCAACTCCGAGGCTCAGAAACCCAACACAGTGCCTGAAATACAATGGCATTTAACTCATGTCTGTGGGAAAAAGATAAACAGTGGTGAGCTGGCAAATGTTTAATGACCAATTCTCTGTTTTCTAACATTTGCCAATTTCTGTGGGTAAGCCCTCCTACTATGGCTGATTTCAAGCTACCAAGATGACAGTACTGATTGTGGAACTGGAAAAGGATGCTAACAATTGGCTTTCACAAGCCAGTACCAGTCAGCACCAGCACACCTCTGCAAACAATGGCTAATGTCTTCTGAAGTGCAACTGGATGAGAAACCTGGCACCTCAGTTGAAAAAACTGGGTTCTGTGGAAAGCTAAACATACATCACCAAACAACCCAGCAATTCCACATGCAGATATATACCCCAAAGAATTAAAAACAAGAACTTAAACAGATATTTGTAGAGCAATGTTCATTGCCGCATTATTCACAATAGCCAGAAAGTATCAGGTGTGGATGAACTGCGGGAGAAACAAAAGGTGGTAACTACATAGAGCAGAACCATACTCATGGTTCCATACTCATGGAACCATAAAAAGAAATGAAGCTCTGGGTCTCCCTGGTGGCCCAGGGGTTAAGTCTCAGCGCTATCACCGCGATGGCCCACCGGTATGGCCTGAGTTCGATCCCCAGCCAAGGAGCTAACCCACATATGGTGCAGCAGACCTTTCCTGTCTTGCCGGCTGCTCCCCTCAGCAGTGTATTTAAGTAGATCCACCTGTTCTGCTCCCCACTCTGTCTCTGGTGAATCCTCTCACCCATCGCATCTCTGGCCTGTACCTAGCTCTTGTATACATAAACAAATCTTTAAAAAAAAAGACAAAAAACAGGCGACTGAGGGAATGAGCCGAAATGAAACCAGCAGAGAACCACCATGCCAATCCACACAACAGTGAGAAACATCAAACTGTTGTTTTAAGCACAAGCTCTGGGATGGCTTTTCATACAGCAAAGGCTAAATGATAGAACAAACTAAAAGTTCAAACTGTAATTTTAGCCCAGTTGGAGTGTTTAATCCCCACTCTATCCAACCCTACAGCTGAATTTCTATATCTCTGACTTTGCTGGTTTGACAGCAAAGAGCCTCTGCGTTCCAAGTTGCTCACGTGGCTTCCCCAGTCCTGCCTCTTTTGGCCAAACACTGTCATACTATTTTCTAAACACAAGAGATAGTTGTGTCAATTCCTTACTACATGTACCATATGACATGTGCTTCAAAGATCTTAGTGAATTCAAAACCAGCAAATGCTTTTTTTTTTTTTTAAATTATTTATTTATACAAGAACCAGGGTACAGGCCAGATGTGCAGGAAGGTGAGAGGATTCACCAGAGACAGAGCAGGGAACAGTACAGGCAGACTGACGAACTACACTGCTGAGGGGAGCAGTGGGCGAGACAGGAGAGGCCTGCCGTACCATGTGGGACCCTCGCCGGCCGGCCAGGATCAAACCAGCGCTGCAGAGGCTACAGACAGCTTCACAGAGCTGTGTTCAACTGCCTGTGCCACCAGGGGAGGCCCAGCAAATGCTCTTTTACCCAAAGTTGTTCACCAGCTATTTATAAGAGCTAAAATTTAGAAATAATCTAAACAACCATAGGGTAACAGTTAAGTAATCAATAATCCACTCAAAAGATAGGGAAGTGCTAATGCTTTTACAGATGGGGCAAAAATTGCTAGTCATATATGTACTCATGATCACAGCTACACAGAAAATAAGCATTTACGAAAGGATGGCAGGACAGAGACAGAAGTAGATGAGTGGTTACCCAGGATTTGGAGTGTTGAGAGAGGACAAGGAGTGATTACTTTTTTGGGTGATGAAGTGTTCTAAAATTGACTGGTAATGGTGTTACCTGTACACCCTGTGAAGACACTAAGAACCATTGAACTGTGCACTTAAAAATAGTGAACTATATGGTAGCCAACAGTGCTATAAAACAGCCAACAGTGCTGTGAGAAGGAAAAAAAGAGTCCAGAGGAAATAAATACATTAAAATGATGGTTGTCATTTGGAATATTTTCAAGTTTTCCAAAATTTCTAGAATGAATACAATTTTTCTAATTATTCAAATAAAAAGCTTTCATTTAAAAAAAGATTTATACTTAAAATTATACTCTGGAAAACATAGTGATACTGCTGAAAATACCTGAAAGTCACAGATACAATCCCGCTCCAACTCCTGCCTTACAACATAAAAAAGCATTTCTATCTTAGGAAAGAAGCAGGTTACATACCCCACCCAGCTGCTGAATGGCCCCCGTCAAAAACTGGAGATTCTTGCCAGCAGGCAGATCCAGGTAGAAAGACTTTCCAGAAAAAGGCTGCCTCCTAGCACTTGGTGATCTCTTCTGGCATTTTTCAAGACAACTGGAAACTCCCAGCTGAGCTCCTAGAGAACAAAGAGGAGTAGAGTGAGAAGCAGGAGGTAAGAAAGGGACCTGCAGGTCAGGTCAAGCAACTCTCATGGGCAGCACAGGCCCTGGACACACAAAGATAAACAAGAGACAAATGTTCTTCACTTCATGACATTCAGAATAGGAGTAGCTGGCACATTCAGACATCGCTGACAGGAATGTCAAATGGCGCCACTCCAGAAAAGAGTTTGATGGTTTCTCAAACTGTGTAAGTCAATCGGTCCAGCTGAACACAGTTAATTCATGACCCAGATAATAACAAGTGTTGGTGAGGATGTAGAGAAATTAAGAGTCTTCATGTTTTGTTGGTGGGACTGTAAAATGGTGCAGTCATGGAGAAAGTTTGCCAGTTCCTCAAAGGTTGAACACAGAAGTTAGCATTAGACCCAGCATATACACTCCTAGGTATACGCTCAAGAAATAAACACATATCTACATGATAACTCATAGACAGAGATGAAAGTGGTGGTGTTCAAAGGACTCAAAGAGTGGAACCTCTGATGTCCATCAACTGATGAATGGACAAAATGTGACAGACACACAGTGGGACAGAGCATTCACAGGAAAAAGGAATGATGTACTAATATATGTGACAACAAAGATGAACTGTGAAAATATTATGCCAAGTGGAAGAAACTAGTCACAAAAGACTGTAAATGGTATGATTCCAATTATAGGAAACATCCAGAATAGGTAAATCTACAAATAAAGTAGATTAGTGGCAATCAAGAGTGGAGCCTTAGGGAAAACTGGGAGGGATGCCAATGAGGATGGCGTTCTTTCTTAGGGGTGATGAAGTTCTAGAATTGTGATGGCTGTACAACGCCCTGAACAAACAAAGGGCCACTGAATTGCATACTTTACGTGGACGAATTGGATGGTATGTGAATTACCTCTCAAAAAGGCTTTTTTAAAAAAGATTTATTTAGGCATCAAAGCTGGGGTATAGGCCAGACGGTTGGGGGGTGAGAGGATTCACTAGAGACAGAATGGGGAACAGAACAGGCAGACTGACCGAAGAACACTGTTGAGGGGAGCAGCGGGTGAGTCAGTAGAGGTGTGTTGCGCCATGTGGGCTGCTCCCTAGCCAGCCCGGGATTGAACTCGTGCTGCAGAGGCTGTGGACAGCTTCATAGGTTGCATCTTAACCCCTTGTGCCACCAGGGAGGTCCTCAAAAAGGCTGTTGTTTAAACATTTTTTCTGAACTTTAACATTTCCATAGTCTCAAACTATATCTTCAAAAGATAGTCACAAAAGGTAAGGCAGTAATATTATAGCGGAGAAACTTGGCAAACTCTAATCAAAGTTAATGTGACCACTGAGGGGTCTTAGTCTCATAACGTGCCTCCTGACATGTACTGGGTCAGGCAAAAAGTGGTTTCTGTGCCAAAAATGCACAGCCCGGGGGCCTCCCTGGTGGCGCAAGGGGTTAAGTCTCAGCACTATGAAGCTATCGGCAGCCACTGCAGCCTAAGTTCAATTCCTAGCCAGGGAACTGACCCACATGGTGCAGCAGACCTCTCCTGTCTTGCCCACTGTTGCCCTTAGCAGTGGATTTAAGTAAATCCACCTGTTCTGCTCCCCAATCTGTCTCTGGTGAATCCTATCACGCCCCCTCACCCCCACACCTCTGGCCTGCATCCCAGTTCTTGTATGCATGAATAAATCTTTAAAAAAACAGAGTATACAAGAAACCCTTAACTGTTTTTCAAGCATTTTTGTAAGTCAAATTATTTTAAAAATGAAAAATGTGAAGAAGAAAGAAACCTGAATAGAGGAGTTGAATCATAACAGTGTGAGCTGGTAGATTAGGTTGAGGAACTTTTCTAGAAGGAATCAGGAAGACATAAAGAAATGGACAATAGAGAAATTAAGACACTCAGAGGATAGGGACAGAAGTGCCAATAGCAGAGAAGTTGCAAAGGGGAAAACGGAAAATATTTGAAGAAATAATGCCTCTAAATATACATGTAGGATGACTACAAGAATTTTTGTTCTCTCTTCAAAACCCACTAAAATGACAGAGAAATAAAAAAGACAAAGACACCAGAAAGAAGATAATAACAGGCAAGATATACTGTAACATTTTGGAAGCTGGAAAGGAAACGTCTGAGTGAAAAAGAGGAGGCCAGAAATAGCTGGATCTGAAGCCAATAAGGAGCAAGCTGGAGCTGAAAAGCTCTGAAACTGGAGGGACCAGGTATGATACTGTGCTAGAACGAAACAGAGGGCTGAAAAAGGATTATTTAGAAACAATTTACAAGGAACAGTTAAGACTAACATCCTATTATATGAAGCAAGAGAGACCATGAGAGTACAAAGGGGTCCCGTGAACACATAGCAAGGTGGCAGTCATCTACAAGGCTGGAAGAGGGCCCCCACTAAGAATAGAATCAATCAACACCTTAACTGTGGGACTTCCCAATCTCAAGTACTAAAAAATAAATGTCTGTGGTTTAGGCAACCTAGTCTATGGCATTTTGTTATAACAGTCTGAACCAGAACTTCCCCTAAAATTGCTAGGTTCCAGCTTCAGCCCAACAACCTATAATGAAATCTATCAGCTGATAACCATGCCCTGCAACTTCTAAATAGCATTTTATTGCATCATTCTTAAGCATGAATGAATAAAATATCATCAGACATTTGAAGAAAGCTCCTTACAAGAAAGCAGAATAACAGCAAGACTCAGCAAAAGAACTCAAAGGATGATGGGCCTTCCTGGTGGCGCGGGGATTAGTCTCAGCGCTATCAAGCTATGGTCAGCCAGAGCAGCGTGAGTTCAGCATGAGTTCGATCCCCAGCCACAAAGCTAACCCACACAGGTGCAGCAGACCTCTCTTGTCTTGCCTGCTGCTTCCCTCAGCAGTGTATTTCAGTAGATCTGCCTTTTCTGCTCCCCACTCTGTCTCTGGTGAATCCTCTCACGCTGTGCGCCTCTGGCCTATACCCCAGCTCTTGTATGCATAAATAAATAAGAATAAGTCTTTAAAAAAAAAAGAATTTGAAAACAAGGGTGAAATAAAGATATTCTCAGACATACAAGCCTCAGAATATTTATATATAAAGCAACCTTTTGAAAATACTGTTGGAGAGAGTTCGCCAGCAAAAAGATTCAGAAGCAAGGAAGACATGGCAAGGCAGTATGAATAATTTGGTAAAATGTATTACTGTTTAAAAGGTAACAACTAAATGGTGTATCTGTAGTAATCCAGAACTAAAACTAGGTGATATTATAAAGGGTGAGGGATACAGAGGCAACTGACTATGTGCTAAAATAGTTTTGTGATTGGGTATGAGTGTTTAATTTTACTGATAAACTTAAGAGTTCTATATAAAAAGTGACTATGAACATGTGTTTAATAATTTACTGTACCCTGATTCCCCATCTGTCTGCTAATTTTACTGACCTTATCAGACTGAAAACTGTACACGTGCACACACACACACACACACACACACACTTCCCATGAGCACACGTGTACGCATACAGACAGTTCCCATTTGAAAACCCCATTAGGATTAACATTTCTCGGCCTTTCCCTCCCAAGAGACTATTGGGCAGGAGTAGCAATTTTCCCTCACTCTGGTTTTGATCATTTACCTACCTAGGTCTGGAGCCTGGAACCTACTCTCAGCCATGGAACTCCCCAGCCCAAGGCAATTGTCGCCTGCGAAAGAACAAAACGGTAGCTGAGACACATTCACAAGCCTTCGACCTCCCACCCCGCCCCTCCCCTCCATCCTGCACAATCGCCTTCGCGACTCCCGGGAACAGCAAGACTCAACCCCCAACCCACTTCCCATCTCATCCGCGCCTCTTTCCAAGCTCTTTCTCGTCTCAGTCCCTCCTCCACCTTTTGGCCTCGGCTCCCTGAACTCCCGCGACCTCTAGGCCACCCCTTGTAGATCTCAATTCCCCTGCCTTGTCCCAGACTTTTAACCCCCTCAGTCGCTCCACGTCCTTTTTACCTCTGTCCCCTCAACCCCTGTGGCCCACGGGGTCATCGCAGCTCCCAGGAACCCTTCCCGGCCCCTCCACCCTCCCTCCAGAGCTCCTCCGCCAACTGCTCCCCGGTCCCTGCTCCTCCCGGACCCCTCACACAGTCTCCTCCTCGGGAGACCCCCTTCCGCCTCCCTCCTGAGCCCCTTCCGGGCCTCCGTACCCTTCCCGACTCTCCTCAAACACTCGGCTCCTTCTCCTTCCTTAACCTCCTCAAAGCCTCCGTGTCATGATCAGCAGCTCCGTGAGCTCCTTCAGACCTCGAGGCCCCGGCCGCGTCGCCGCATCTACAGTATCATTCTCTAGTCGCCCTGGGCCGCCGCTTCGGTTTAAATTTCCTGTAGGCCCCGCCCCCAAAAATGTAATAGCTGCGACATCGCCCTACGGCGGCCCCGGAGGGACAAACTCCGCCTCGCCGTTTTCAAGTCAGTTTCTTTTCTTTTCTTTCTTTTTTTTTTTTTTTTTAAGATTTATGTATTTATTTTTATACAAGAATCGGGGTACCGGCCAGATGCGCGAGAGGGTGAGAAGATTCACCAGAGACAGAGTGGGGAACAGACCAGGCAGACTAACTGAAGCACACTGCTGAGGGGAGAGGCGGGTGAGAGAGGAGGGTTCTGCCGCACCATGTGGGACCCTCCAGGCCGGGATCGAACCTGCGCTGCAGAGGCTGCCGACAGCTTCACAGTGCGGCGCTCAACCGCCTGCGCCACCAGGGGAGGCCCCCAGTTTCATCTTTCTCTTCCTTTTTCGGCTTTTCATTGGCTGCACATGTTTTGCGTCTTGATAGCCGGCAAACTAAGATCTACTGGTAGCATTTTAATGATTGTCCTGCTGAGTGGTCTGAATTCCTGGGAGTTAGATTAATAAATAACAAAACAAATCTAATATTGTTAGGGGGAAAGGATGTCCTGAGCTAATTCCATGCAGGCTTTGTGGACTCCACCCCCACTCCAGACCAAAGCCATCAAGACACTGGGAAAGACAAATCCCCTCACCACCAAAGGGAAGGTGGCTGGGACCTGAGGGTGGAGTTAAGCAGCCAGGTTTGGTATAAAAACCAAACACGTGGGCCTTGGGGGGTTCGTTTTGTCACTTGCCTCCTGGCTTCATGGCTCCTGGCTCTAGGCCATTTGGGAGTTCAGATCGGCAGATCGGGTAGGAGGCATTTAAAACTTTTTCTCCCACTTTTCTGCCTGAGCTGTACATTTCCTCATTTGCCCTTCCCTTGTAAATAAACCTTTTATTAACCTTTCGCGTGTGCCTGCAGTAGAGCATTGATAAGTCCTTTTAAGCGCGCGGGTGAGGACCCACAGTCAGGCACCCCGTTTTATATCGGGGCTGCCCTGTAACAACATGACTACAGCTTACACAAATTCCATGTACACACACTTCTTCACGTCTTTGTCCCTCTCCCTTTCTCTGCTTAGGTCCCCAATAAAAAGTTTCGCAAAAGAGGTGTCCGTTTCCTGTTTCCAATCTTTTCTCCAGCACACTTAATTAGACTTTGATCGTCAACTCTCCATTAAACCTGTACTTGTTGAAGTTAACGGTGACTTCTACATTGCTTTGCAATCCTTCTGAACACTGAAGCAGACTGGTGCCTACGTTAGACATTTTCTTCTCTTTTCTTCTGTTTTTACTGGTTTTCTCCATACAACAGTAGCTCATCTTCAACCTGCTTTGCTGGGTCCCAAAGCACTGCTCCACTTAGAAATGTTGGAGTATCACACGCTTTGTCTCTTAGCAATCTTCTCGTCATTGTCAACATTCTCTCCCTAGAAATCATCCAACATGGCTTTACAATTCAGCTATATATTAATGCCTGAAGAATTTCTCTCTAGTTCTGATCTCTCCCCCTAATCTCTAGATTTATATATTCAAGTGCCCACTGGACATTTCCATGTTTGTGTCTATTAGGCACTTGAAGCTTGACATGTTCAAAACAGAACATTTGTACCTCCCCTGCTCCCGCCACCCCAAAATCCCCCCCACCTATTATCCTAGTCTTCCACATTTCCATAACTATCACATCATTCACTCAGTTACTCAAATAAAAAAACTAGAAATTGGGCCTCCCTGGTGGCGCAAGGGGTTAAGATGCAACCTATGAAACTATTCACGGCCATTGCACCATGAGTTCAATCCCCGGCCAGGAGCTACCCACATGGCGCAGCAGACCTCTCCTGACTCTTCCGCTGCTCCCCTCAGCAGTGTATTTCAGTACTTATGTCTGTTCTCTTCTCCACTCTGTCTCTGGTGAATCCTCTCACACCCCAAACCTCTGGCCTGTACCCCAATTCTTGTATGCATAAATAAATAAATCTCTAAAAAAAAAAAAAACCTAGAAATTACCTTTTTGTGTTTTTTCTTATCACTACCCCTACTTCAAAAATAAATTCTAGGGCCTCCCCGGTGGCGCAGCCGTTGAGCGCTGGGTTGCGAAGCTGCCCGCGGCCTCTGCGGCGCCGGTTCGATCCCCGGCTGCTCCCCGGCCACCAGAGGAGGGTCCCACATGGCGCGCAGACCTCTCCTGCCGCCCGCTGCTCCCCTCAGCAGTGTGCTTCGGTCCTTCTGCCTGCTCTGCTCCCCGCTCTGGCTCTGGTGAATTCTCTCGCCCTCCCGAGCTTCTGACTGTACCCAGTGCATGTATAAACAAAACAAACAAACCAGCAAACAAATAAATAAAGCATGCCTCTATAAAAAAAATAAATAAATAAATAAATAAATAAATTCTAGGGGCCTCCCTTTGCACAAGGAGTTAAGACGCAGCACTGTGAAGCTAGCCGCAGCCACTGCAGCAAGAGCTTGATCCCTGGCCAGGGAGATACCCACATGTTGCAGCAGACCTCTCCTGACTCACCCGCTGCTCCCCTCAGCAGTGTATTTCAGTAGATCCACCTGTTCTGCTCCCCACTTTGTCTCTGGTGAATCCTCTCACCACCCTCCACCCCATGCTTCTGGCCTACACCCCAGTTCTTGTATGCATAAATAAATAAAATCTCTAAAAAAAAAACAAATTCTCAGGATCACTGGAAGTCGGAACAGGAAGGGGGCACGCTGGTCCATGGGTGGGAATTTCAGAGGAGTGCAAAAGAAATTCTTGTCAGTAATGAATCTTTACTATTACTGAAGTGTTCACTTCAATCATTTTTTTAAGATTTATTTATTTATGCATACAAGAATTGGAGTATAGGCCAGAGGTATGTGTGTGGCGGGGTGAGAGGATTCGCCAGAGACAGAGTGGGGAGCAGAACAGGCAGATTGAGAGCAGCAGGGGAGACAAGGAGAGGTCTGCTGCACCATGTGAGTCAGCTGCTTGGTCAAGTATTGAACTCATGCCTTAGTGGCTGGCAATAGCTTGATAGTGCTGAGACTTAACCACTTGCACCACCAGGGAGGCCCGATCTTATGCACATTATGTCACAATTAAAAAGATAAGACAGAGGGCCTCCCCGGTGGCGCAGCGGTTGAGCGCTGGGTTGCGAAGCTGCCCGCTGCCTTTGCGGCGCCGGTTCGATCCCCGCCTGCTCCCCGGCCACCAGAGGAGGGTCCCACATGGCGCGCAGACCTCTCCTGCCGCCTGCTGCTCCCCTCAGCAGTGTACTTCGGTCCTTCTGCCTGCTCTGCTCTCCGCTCTGGCTCTGGTGAATTCTCTCACCCTCCCGCGCTTCTGACTGTACCCAGTGCATGTATAAACAAAAACAAACAAATAAAGAAAGAAAGAAAGAAAACATGCCTCTATATAAAAAAAAAGAAAAAAAAAGATAAGACAGGGAAAGTAATGAAGCATATTCAACCACACACTATGGATTTTGTGTCACAAAATAATTAACATGTATTAATAAATATATTAATATGTATCAGTGTATATTAAAAATGTAAATGCATTAATACATTATTTGTATTAATGTATTCATAACACATTATTTGCATCACTTTTTAACTACCCTTTCATATTTGTCCTTTGTATTCTTATGGTAGTGTGAATATGAATTTTCAGAACCCTATTTTAATGAGGTCTGGCTGGAAAGGAGTGCCAGCATTTGCATTCATTAACAAACCACAAGATGCAACCAGCTTGGTATTTCCCACTCTTTCTTGGGGAGCAGGGGAGAAGGACCTCCTGAGGTTATATAGGAAATTGTTAGAATTGAATTAGAGGAAGCTTACATAGTTCTCACCAAGAATGTACTAAGCAATCTGCCCTCTCTTGTTTCTGAGTAAACCCTATTTTTGTTAAAAAAGCAAATTGCTTTTGTTGAGATTATTAATGGACATAATGATATGATAAATAGTTCACACATGCAATTCATAAACAAATACAAATTTATATATTAGGGGTTCATGGTGAAAATATTTTTATTTCTAAGAGTACTTGGCAAAAATGTGTTTGATGCTCATTGGCCTAGAGAGATTTCCAGCAGGTAGACAAGGAAACATATATAAGAACTTGAATTGAAGCACTGTTTCGAAAGCTAGCAAATGATCTAAATGTGCATTAACAGGGCCTCCCTGGTGGCGCAGCGGGTTGAGCGCAGTGCTGTGAAGGTGTCTGCAGCCTCTGCAGTGCAGATTCAATTCCCAGTTGGCCAGGGAGACACCCACATGGCACGGCAGACCTCTCCTGTCTCGCCTGCTGTTCCTCTCAGCAGTGTATTTCGGTCAGTCTGCCTGTTCTGCTCCCCGCTATGTCTCTGGTGAATTCTCTCACCCTCCCGTGCCTCTAGCCTGTAACCCAGTTCTTGTATAAATAAATAAATCTTTTTAAAAAATGTGCATTAACAGAGGAATGGGATCAGCTGGGGCATAGTCAAGCAGTGGAATACTATACAGTGGTTTAAAAGAATGGATAAAATGATGAGTTACATTTATCAACAAGGTACATATTTTGTTGTTTTTTTTTTCATTTTTGAATATTTATTGAACAGTCGAAATTAATGATTAAGAAATACTTGTTCTACACCAGTGCCATTTATTAATAGCTTTAACTTGAGTTACTGTTCTTCAAGGTACATATTTTGAACAATCTTTTTTTTTTTTATAGAGGCATGTTTTATTATTTATTTATTTGTTTGTTTTGTTTGTTTGTTTTGTTTATACATGCACTGGGTACAGTCAGAAGTGCGGGAGGGTGAGAGAATTCACCAGAGCCAGAGCGGGGAGCAGAGCAGGCAGAAGGACCGAAGTACACTGCAGAGGGGAGCAGCGGGCGGCAGGAAAGGTCTGCACGCCATGTGGGACCCTCCTCTGGTGGCTGGGGAGCAGCCGGGGATCGAACCGGCACCGCAGAGGCTGCGGGCAGCTTCGCAACCCAGCGCTCAACCGCTGCGCCACCGGGGAGGCCCTATTTTGAACAATCTTAAGTGAAAAAAGCACACTGCAGAAAATTCCAACATGAAAAACATTGTGGTATATTTTTGATGGACACATACATACATATGTTGTAATTTGTATTACATATGTAATAATATGTAATACATATTATGGGCCAGGGGGCCCCATAGTACTATGTACTATGTTTAAAATTACTGAACAGGAAGCTAAACAAACTCAGGAATAGGGGAGAGAGGGAAGACAATGAGAGTGAGGAAGGGCTTCCAGTAGAATTTATTTCTTAAAAAAAAAAAAAAAAAGGAAGGTAAATAAAAGTAACAAGTAGTTCTTAATTTTAAAACAAGAGCTTTAAAACTAGTCTCCCTGAGTTCTCCTCCTCAGTGACAGGCATGCTTACAAAGCTTGTGTATTTTTCCTGGAGATATTTTATTCACATGTAAGGACTTCTATTTCTATGTGTTCCCCCTACTCCACCTTCTTTGCAAACACAAATGGTAGCAAATATACTTTTCTGAGCCCCACTTTTTTCTTTAACAATGTATCTTGCATTCTGTTACACTTCTGGACATGAAGAGCCTCTTTTTTTTTTTTTTTTTTTTTAACAGCTGTTCAATAGTGCTTTGTGTGGCCTTTTGGAACCAGTTGCCTATGTATAGAATACAGACTATTTCTGTCTTTTTACTACAATAAGGATCACTGCAATGAATATCCTTATGTTATCCTGCACACATATAGGTACCATAATAAATTCTCAGAAGTAAAAACTCTGGATCTTTTCAAATTTCTCTCCAACAAGATTGCACCAATTTAATTCTTGCTTAACATTTTCCGAAGCTCATTTTCCAATTATAAGGCTTTGTGATCTGAGAAGCAAGCCTAGAGTCTCATTGCAAGTTTAATTGGCATATTTAAAAATTATAAATATGACTGAGCATCTTTTTATAGAGCAAAAAGTCATTTTGACTTTTTCTGTAAGCTTTCTGCCGTTTACCCAGTTGTGTGAATTTTTTTTAATTATGCATACAAGAACTGGGGTACAGGCCAGAGGATTCACCAGAGACAGAATGGGGAGCAGAACAGGCAGATCTACTGAAATACACTGCTGAGGGGAGAAGCGGGCAAGACAGGAGAGGTCTGCTGTGCCATGTGGGTAGCTCCCTGGCTGGCCTGGGATTGAATTCATGCTGCAGAGGCTGTGGACTGCTTCACAGTGCTGTGCTTAACCCCTTGCGCCACCAGGGAGGCCCCAGTGTGAATTTTTTTTTTAACAATGGGCACTTTAGAATAAAATAGACAGTGAGGATTTTTTAATTCAAGGTCTGGACAGCCTTCACTCAGTTTGTGAGAAGTTTATGATGCCCTCAAAAAGCCTTTGTGCTTTGTACTAAAATCATTTCCTGATTTTGATATTGTACTATGGCTATGGATACGTGTCTGTAATTTTAATCTCAAAATCAAAAGTTAAAAAAAAATATTGTGTTATTTTTCTGGTTGAGGATGCTCTGCACTGTTTTAAAACTGTGATCCATGAGCCATGATGTCTCCCAAGGTTGTTAAATGACAAGCCCTGCCTGTAAGACAGTCCTTAGGTTAGAAGCATACCTGAGGACCTGAAAGAGGGCCAAACAGGCCCAGGAGCTGATATTCACACTATCTTGCATTTCTACTGAGCTTTATAGTGTTTGATACCCATTCATTTACATTATCCCAATAATAACAAAGCTCCCAAGTCACCCTTTGCAAAGCAAATAAGCCCCCTGCTTTCTTTTTGTTGTCTTCCCCTGAACTCTGTTACTCATCATACCTGATCCCCTGGAGGTCCCGAACAAACCTTTACACATAGTTCCCCGCATCTGGGTCTGCTCCCTTTCTCCTTCCAGTCTTTTTGACTAAAGAGAGCTTTCATTCTCAAAAAAGTACAGGCAGCATCTCCATTAGAAAGCTCTTCTGGGTCCCCATCTCAACCGATTCCAGCCCCATTTCAAAAGGCAATGAACGTCATCCTAATCTTCCAGGCCTAGACAAAGCTCCACCAAAACATTTATCTCATTGTAGTCACCAGTTTAAACATGACATGAGGGCTCTTTGAGGGCAGAGATTTTTGTGACATTCGTTTTACATTTTAGTGCCTACCAGCGAAATCAAGCTGCTCTATTCAGTGAATGAAGGAGTCACTGATCTGCCAGCCTCCTCTGCAGTTAAGTAGAGCCAACCCAGGTTCTTAAATAATTCCTCTCAATCCAAAGCCAGGTGTTTGGTAGTCAGCGGCAAGCTCTTGCCTCTGTTTAGCCTCCTGTAGCTGTGAGGCTGGTCTCAGTTTCCTTATCTTTAATATATGTGGACTGTCTCTGTGCAGGGTTGTTGGGAGGATGAGGAAAGATAAAGAATGAACTCATTTTGGCACATTGCCTGCCAGAAGGTAAGTAAGTTTCCTCGAGGTTATTCCTGTGTAAGTTTCAGTGAGTGAGCAAAGGAGATGACTAGACGGTACCTGTTCATTTATTGAGCTCCTACTGTGTGTCGAGTACAGAGTTAATTACAGCACACTAAGTGCAGAGAAGCAACTACAGAACCCTGGAGTGGTCTTAACCCAGGGAGTCAGGGATTGTTTTCTGGGGGAGAAGCAGGAAGTGGAGGGTGGTAGCAGTCAGTAGTGCCGCTGGTTAGGCAGGGTGCATGAGCATGTTCCTACAGGAAAGCTGTGTAGGAGTCAGTGGCTTAGAGTCCACGATTGCGCGTGCAAGTGCAGATTGGTAATGCAGGCTCAAGGGCTGCAACCACAGTTGAGTTCCAGTCGGGTTTAGTTTATTGGCAGTGTAACCCTGGCAAGTAACTCTGGTTTTCTGAACTTCCTCCAAGGGAAGAATGAGGAGCTTGTTAAGAATATTCACCTATTCACCTATCGGGGTTTCTGGGAGACCACGCGACGGTGCGTAGGCCCCGATGCGCTCCATTTAGAAGGTGTAAAGCCAAGGCCTCCCTGGTGGCGCAAGGGGTTAAGCACCCCACTATGAAGCAATCTGCATCCTCTACAGCACGAGTTCGATCCCCAGCCATGGAGAAACCCACATGCTGCGACAGCCCTCTCCGGAGGTCCGCTGCTCCCCTCAGCAGTGTACTTCAGTCAGGCTGCCTGTTCTGTTCCCTGCTCTGTCTCTGGTGAATCCTCTCACCACCCCCCTGCATCTCTGGCCTGTACTCCAGCTCCTGTATGCATTTAAAAAAAAAAAAAAAAAAAAAAAAAAAAGGTGTAAAGCGCCCGGAACTGTCACTACAGGGCGACGGAGTTCCCTTTCTGAGCCTGCGCAGTGGGTCTGAGGCGCAGCCCGTCAGGCACTGCGGTAGGCACCCTCGGGGCTGGCAGGACCCTGACCCCAAGATGGCGGCGCCCAGCGAATTGGCCGCGGGAGCCGCAAGTGAAGGCGATGGTGGGGGTAGCAGTTTTGGATCGTGGCTGGATGGACGGTTGGAGGCGCTGGGAGTGGATCGAGCCGTTTACGGTGCCTACATACTGGGTGTCCTGCAGGAGGAGGAGGAGGAGGAGAAACTGGATGCTCTGCAGGGTATCCTCGCTGCTTTCCTGGTGAGAAATCCGGACACATTCCTTCAGTGCCACGCTGACGCCTGTCGTACTTTTCATGCCCTTTTCTTAATCGGTGTTCAGGAGGACTAATGGTTTCACCCGAAAGGGCAATCTTCCTCTAATTCTGGTGGCGGGGGGAAAAGATTTACTCCCCATCCAGGGTTTTGGAGAGCCGGAAGGTTGCAAGTGCATAGAGAGAAATGGTCTTACCTTGTGTCTAGAAACAAGGCTCTCTCTCATGCTTGTGAGTGAGCGGGTGAGTTTTTTTTTTTTTTTAAGCACTGATATTTAAATGGGAGTTTCATTATAAACCTCTAACAACCTGTTTCACTCCCAACCGTAGACAGTGTTCGGAGGGGGGAAATAAAGTGCTCTGGGATGTCTGTGCCCTTTAAGAGGCTGTGCCCAGAACTGTCCCATGATCAAAGCCGGCAGGAAGTGCCTTCTGGATTCCTATTTTGGAAGTAGGAGTCAAGAAGGCGGTAGAGGTATTTTCATGCCTAGGCAGAACTGAAGCAAATACTTTGCTTGACTGTTTACAGTATTTAGGAATGTTGTAATCATTGGTGGGGGGCTTTTGTGGGAGGGGATAAGAGAGGGAATAAAGAGATAAGAGTTTTAAAGAAAAGAGAATTAACTTGGTATTTCACCTGTTAGAAGCTGATTCAAAAATTCAGAAATGTGTACTTTAAGTTGTGTTTAAGTAGTAACTAACCAAGATGTCCACGTTTCCAACCTCATCATTTCTGCCACCTTCATCTCCATTTGCACTTGGTGGAAGCTTGTTGAATTCAGCACTTGGTTGAAATAACCCAGCTGTTTCAGGTTTTCCTGGCAAGGACACCTTTTTAGTCCCAGAACCTGCTCTCTGAGATAGGCCTGTACCTAGGAAAGCTTTCATGCAGTTCATAGGTTTAATGGAAATACAAACAATGTGTCCTGACATTGCAGGCTGTAAGGTGCAAGAGCAATTTAAGTTTTTATTTCCTGATGGGAAATTTCTAAAGACTCCATAGAAAAGTTGAAATAACCTGGGTATCTCTTGGCACCAACTTCTTAACTGGTTCTTTCATGATGTCGTTATTTAGAGCTGTATGTCTGCTGATAAAGACAGGCATGAATTTGCCTTAGACTATTAGCAGTCTCTTAGTAGAAGAGACAAAATTACATACAAACAGGTTTGTTTCTTTGTATCTGCCTTTTGTTTACATGAACTGCAGGACCTCAAAGTTCTAAGGGTGATTTCCCCCTCCATCTGCTCAGTTCACACACCATGCTTAATTTTCTCATAGTTTTCCTAGCTCCTTCTGTATGACACTGACTTTGGGAAGAATTGGTCAGGTATTTTAAAGATTTATTTTATTTATGTATACTAGTACTGGGGTACAGGCCAGAGGTTTGGGGGGGTGAGAGGATTTACCAGAGACAGAGTGGGGAGCAGAACAGGCAGATTGACTGAAATACACTGCTGAGGGGAGCAGTGGGCAAGACAGGAGAGGTCTGCTGTGTCCTGTGGGTAGCTCCCTGGCCAGGGATCAAACTGGTGCTGCAGTGGCTGTGGATAGGTTCCTAGGTTGTATCTTAATCCCTTGCACCACCAGGGAGGCCCTGGTCAGGTATTTTATGGCAAAACAACAAAGGAGTGTCTTTACAAAGTAAGGGCCAATGAATATGGTATATATTAAACACCTAATTCAACGTGCTGCTTACTCTCTGTCCATCATTTGGGCTGCATGTGGCAGCCCCAGACTGTTGTAACAAACGCTTTTCTAAGAAAAACAAATGACATAGCCAAATTAATTACCAGGTTGGGCTAGGATTTAAGAAATTTTAGAAATTAAGAAGTTTGTCAGTAAAATTCAAGAACAGTAAGTATATGTAGCCAGGAGCAAATAACAGTAAACAAAAGTATTGCGTTTATTCTCTCAATAGTACTTGCATTGATTGACTTGAGTTATCTTTTTTTCTTTTTCTTTTATTAATTACTGTATATCAGGCACTATCCTAAGTGCTTGAGGTACCCTTGGGAAACAAAATGGACTGAAATCTCTGCCCTCAAAAGGATTATATTCTAGCAGGTAAAAACAAAATCTGTAAGTTAAATAGTGTGTTAGAAAAGAAATGCTAGGGGGAAAAGCACTGTTAAGAGGATCACATGTGAAATGGAACAATGAGTTGCAGTTGTAAGTAAGCTTTGTTCAGGTTGTGATTTCAGGCAGGAAATTACTGGTTTCCTTTTCCAACTAGGAAGAAGATTCCCTCCTTAACATCTGCAAGGAGATTGTGGAACGATGGTCTGAAACTCAGAATATTGTCACCAAGGTGAAAAAAGAAGGTAGGGTTGGATCTATGTTTAATCTTCAGTGCCTTTTCCAATAACATTTACTATAGACCAGTTAGGAAGAGAATTTGTAGTTTTCTCCTTTACTCATCTTCCCAAAGATAATTTAAGCTAGAAAACACTCACACTTATTACTTTTCCGCTTTTATATTTTTCCATTGCAACTGACCACAGTTATCTTCATTGTGTGTTTTTTTTTTTTTCTTTTTCATCTTTCCACTGGCCCTGGTAGATTTGCACTGCAGGTATAGGATCAGTTATATATTCCTGTCTCCCACCTTTTTCATATCCTCATTTCATGATATACATTATGATTGGTATTTTGCTTTTTTCAGCTGAGCCCTTTAAAATGAAAGAAATGGACTAATAGAACCACCATTAGGATGACAAATACTTTAGGGAAAACTCAAATAAAAAATGCCAAACTGGGGCCTCCCGGGTGGCGCAGCGGTTGAGCGCTGGGTTGCGAAGCTGCCCACAGCCTCTGCAGCGCCGGTTCAATCCCCGGCTGCTCCCCGGCCACCGGAGGAGGGTCCCACATGGCACACAGACCTCTCCTGCCACTCGCTGCTCCCCTCAGCAGTGTACTTTGGTCCTTCGGCCTGTTCTGCTCCCCGCTCTGGCTCTGGTGAATTCTCTCACCCTCCTGTGCTTCTGACTGTACCCAGTGCTTGTATAAATCAATAAATCAATCAATAAATAAATCTTTAAAAAAAAAATGCCAAACTGAAATAAAATCTATTCTAAACTGTCTAGGCTGTTTGTTCTTAGTCTTGGCTACACATTAGAATCACTTGATGGTCTTTAAAAAAAATGCCAATGCCTGGGCCACACCATGGACCAATTAGATAAATATCTTCGGGGCCGGGACCTGGGCATTGTCTTTTTAAAAAGTTTTCCCCGATGATCCTAAATAGCAACCAGGGATGAGAACCATTACTTTATACCAGTGCCTCCTTTCTTTGAGAATGACGAACTTAATAGTTGAGTTTATTTTAAAATACAGGATTTTACTTGGCATAATTATCAGCATGACAGGGACTAGCTTAAGCTGATTCTAGATTCCTTCTTAAATTTCTGGGTTGAGAGGGGAGAAAGTTGCATGTTCTGGGGTTCTAAATGCAGTGCTTTTCTACCTTTTTTTTTTAAGCAGCAGAACTTCAGTATATAAAATAAAAGCAGGGCTACTTTGATTGATGATGGATACAAGACCTAAAGCCTGGCCTGTGTGGCCTTTCCTTGCCTTTTTCATTGGCCCCTGAGGCACCTCCTTTGAATCCCAGGGCTCTCAGGAGTCAGCAGATGCCATTGCCTTGACTCCAAGCACTGCTCATATGGGCTAGTGGTTTAGTGAGCTTGTTCTCTCCCACATACAACCTTGTTGTCTCTCCCCTCTCACCACCTCCCAGATGAGGTACAGGCCATTGCCACCCTGATTGAGAAGCAGGCACAGATCGTGGTGAAACCCCGGATGGTGTCAGAAGAGGAAAAGCAGAGAAAAGCTGCCCTCCTGGCTCAGTATGCTGATGTGACAGATGAAGAAGAATATCCTTTTTGGAGTCTTGGCACCGTTCCCTGAGGTTCATGCCAAAAGCCTTTTCTGGTTTATAGTGAACTTTGGCAAGTTGCCAATCCCCCTCTGTGGCTTAATTTTCCCTTTTCAAATAGCAGTGATCTATTACCTTTCATGGGTATGAGGAATGCTGTTGAAACTAGACTTATATTTTTCAACACATAATCAGTATGTTCCTGAAGACTTCAGTGTAAAACAAATAATGTCTTAATAGTGGATCATCTATATTGTGTTTTCAAAAACAAGGTATAGCTGTGATTCCTTAAATTTATATGTATTAATAATTCTATGTAATGCCTTTTTATGTAGTATAGTACCATATTTATAGTCCATCTTTATATTCCTGGTTAATAAGGAAATTAAGGCATTAAGAGATGATGGATGATCAGAGACAGTCAGAGAATTCATGGCAAAACCAGGCCTGGAACATGGATATTTTTGGTGAGGGTTTCCCAAATTTGGAGCAGTTTCATTTGAGTTTTTTAATTCTGGTGACCAAATGATCAAAAGTGAAACTGGACCTCCAAGAGTAAATCTGGACTTTGGGGACTATGTGGAAGTACTACTGATAGGGGTTGGTTCGGTTCCCTGTGATTTTGAAATTTGCTTAGGAAATACTAAGTCTACTGGAATGGAGTGGACATCATATCAGAAACATTAGCTTTACAAACCAAGGTCAGGAAAGAGTTCTTAAGGTTTTTTTGGGTCAGTTTTCATGATTTTTTTGCCCAGGTTCCAATTACGTAATTCTCATTTCTTTAGCTAAATAAACAACTTTTTTGTTGTTGTTGTTAAATAAACAACATTTTAAGCAGCAGTTCTGCTAGAAGATTTGCTTAAACAGATTGCTTGGCCCTACCGCAAGAGTTTCTGATTTGGTAGGTCCATGGGAGGCCCAAGAATGTGCATTTCTAACAAGTTCCCCAGGGAGTTCTAGGAACACTTTTTTTTTTTTAAGATATATTTATATAAGAACTAGGGTACAGGCCAGAGGTGCAGGAAGGTAAAAGAATTTACCAGAGTCAGAGTGGGGAGCAGAACAGGCAGATGGACCGAAGACACTGCTGAGGGGAGCAGCGGGCGAGGCAGGAGAGGTCTGCCGCGCCATGTGGGTATCTGCTTGGCCAGCCGGAAATCAAACCCGCGCAGAGGCTATGGACAGCTTTACAGTGTGGCACTCAACCCGCTGTACCACCAAGGAGGACCGGACCCCTTTGTTTCCTTAAAAAATTTTATTTATTTATGCATACAAGAGCTGGGGTATAGGCCAGAGGTGTGGGAGTGTAGGAGGATTCACCAGAGACAGAGTGGGGAGCAGAACAGGCAGATCTACTGAAATATACTGCTGTGGAGAGCAGTGGGTGAAACAGGAGAGGTCTGCTGCACCCTTTTTTTCTTTTTCTTTTTTTTTTAAAGGTTTATTTATGCATACAAGAACTGGGGTACAGGCCAGAGGTGTGAGGGGTGAGAGCATTCACCAGAGACAGAGTGGGGAACAGAACAGGCAGACTGACAGAAATACATTGCTGAGGGGAGCAGTGGGTGAGTCAGGAGAGGTCTGCTGCGCCATGTGGTTAGCTCCCTGGCAGGCCAGGGATCGAACTGGTGCTGCAGTGGCTGTGGATAGCTTCATAGCTTGTCTTAACCCCTCGTGCCACCAGGGATGCCCCCTTTTTTTCTTTTAAATATTTATTTATACATACAAGAGCTGGGGTACAGGCCAGAGATGTGGGGGGAGATGCGCCACCAGGGAAGCCCATTTTTTTCTTTCTTAAGGTAACATTGATATACAAAACTGTATATGATTTAGGGGAGTAGGTTCATACCTCCTCACATATATATCACCACACCACCCCCACCATCATAGTCCTTTACCCTAGGCCATTGGGCCTCCTCCCTCTGTTCCCACCCCCTATAGCATCCTCAGTTCTGCAGTCATAAGTTAGGGTTTGTTTGGCTTAGTTTTGTCAGTTCCTTTGTTTTTTTCTCTATTCCACACGTGAATGAAGTCATCCAGTATTTATCTTTCTCCTTCTGACTTATTTTACTTAGCATAACCCCCTCTAGTTCCATCCATGTCATTGTAAATGGCAAGAGAGTTTACCTTTTTTTCATAGCTGAGTAGTGTCCCATTGTGTATGTACACCACATCTTAATCCACTGTTCTGTTGATGGGCATTTAGTTCGTTTCCATAACTTGGCTATTGTGAATAGTGCTGCAATGAACACAGGAGTGTGTATCCCTTTGAATTAGTGATTTTGTAATGTTTCAGTAGATATTTAGCAGTGGAATTGCTGGTTATTGTATATAGATCTATTTTTAATATTTTGAGGACCTTCCAAACTGTTTTCCATGGGGACTGGACCAGTCTCCATTCCCGCCAACAGTGTACAAGGGCTGTGAATCACTGTTCTAGAGGTCATCTTACCGTTCCCTGGCTTCCAGGTAATACTGCAGTTCAGCCAGGCCAATTTAAGTTTCTTCATAGCCCTAAGAGAAAAGATCTTACTGAGGATGCAGTTTTCCCTCAGTTGAGACTACTAAAGATGACATAACTGGGTTTATCACCATGTCCTTGACAGTGTCCTTCCATTCCACGTTTTTCCCACTCATCAGTTTATTGAATGTTTTCTGATGTTGGGTTGGGCATGCTAACCTTTGTTTTCCATCCGACTTTCCTTAACGTCACTCACTGAAGCAGATGAAAAGGGTGACTCAGGTGCCGCCACAGTGAACCTGGGTTCTGACAAATGTATCCTTCTCTGTGTCCATCTCCATGTGTTTCTCCATAGACTGCTCTCAAGGAACAGATTTAATTTTTCTGTCGTTATAGGGGGGCATCCCTTTCCTCCAGGAGCTCATATCAGGCCAGCATTATGAGCCCCACTGATTGGACAGCTCTAGTTAATTTAGGAAGAGCTTTCCCCAAAGGAAACATGTTAACATATACCTTAAAGGGATTGGCTTACAGGAAGGGATTTGTCACTAGTTTTTCTCTTCTTTCTTTTAAAGATTTATTTATTTATGCATACAAGAGCTGGGGTACAGGACCGAGAAGCATGGGGGTGAGAAGACTTACCAGAGACAGAATGGGGAGCAGAACAGGCAGATTGACTGAAATACAGTGCTGAGGGGAGCAGTGGGCAAGACAGGAGAGGTCTGCTGTGCCATGTGGGTAGCTCCCTGGCCAGGGATTGAACTCATGCTGCAGAGGCTGCAGATAGCTTCATAGTGCGGTGCTTAACCCCTTGCACCACTAGGGAGACCCACTGGTTTTTATTTTGTAGGGGAAAATAAGAATCTCTACTCCCGTAGCTAACACTCGGTTTCCCAACAGTGTCAAAGCAATTAAAATAATAAAGTTTTGGCCCTTGTCCTCAAATATTTTGTAATTTGTTGGAAAGGGAACACAAACATCGGATATTGTTAAGCAAAAAATATGGACATATTGAAACAAATGTGCTGAGGAAAGTTCCCACCAGCAGAATCACTTGTGAGGAGCTGCTAAGAGAAGGTAATTTCGAAAATCCACATTCTTAAAGTGATGAGTGGGGTTGAATTATCAGCAAAGGGGAGATAATTTCAGAGAGACATTCATTTTAAAGCACTAAAGCAGGAAGTCATGTTTTGAGAGGGAGGAGATTGATAGTAATGGATTGTTTTGGAAATAAAAAATGAAAGCTAAGGTTTTGGCTAGGTATTTTTTAACTGCCTAAATGTATATTATTTCATATCTTATAGATTTAGAGTTTATGGTTATTAGACCATGGTTTTTAAGCTTTAGTGATCTAGGCAAAAAAGACAGTTGATGAAATCTAGTAAGGTTAAAGAACTTATGTAACTCTTTTCAAATGTTTCAGTGGTGCCAAGTACATAAAAATTGCCAGATAAATTAATACTGTACTCACTAAAACAAACCCAAATATTCTAACCATATTCTGCTATTGAACAGTAAAAGTACTTATTCTAGAATGTAATTTCATTAAATATTTTAACATTATTTTGCTTTTTAAAAAATTTATTTTTATTTATGCATACAAGAGGAGGGGTGTAGGCCAGAGGTGTGGGGGGTGTGTGTGAGAGGATTCACCATTGACAGAGAGGGGAGGAGAACAGGCGGATTGAACTGAAACACACTGCTGAAGGAAGCTTTGGGCGAGACAGGAGAGGTCTGCTGCACCATGTGGGTCAGCTCCCTGGCCTGGGATTGTGCTGCAGTGGCTGGTGACAGCTTGATAGTGTTGAGACTTAACCCCTTGCGCCACCAGGGAGGCCTCTGAGGATAGTTTTAGGATTGCCTGTTAGATCAAAGATAAACATAGGATTCTTTTGTTAAGACTAGGAGTAGGTAGAGAATTCAAGACTCAGCATGAAGCGTGAAGACAGTGAGAATGAGTAAAAAGAGCAATAGCTGGAACCTGAGTGACCTGAACCCTACTCCCTTAACTCACCTGTAGCTCTCTTCCGGAACACCAATGTGGAAGATGTCCTTAATGCTCGAAAACTGGAGCGAGACTCACTTCGGGATGAGTCCCAAAGGAAGAAGGAACAGGACAAGCTGCAGAGAGAGAGGGAGAAACTAGCCAAGCAAGAGCGCAAGGAAAAGGAAAAGAAAAGGACACAGAAAGGAGAACGAAAGCGGTAACCTTGGCCCGCGCCTTTCTCCGCACGAACTTGATGAGCGGGTGGACGGGTTGTGCACGTGTGTATTTAAGAGCAATGAGAGGCCACTGAACAGTGGTGTCCCGAGGCATCGCCCCTTTTGTTTACACGGTCAAAAGGAAACCAAACACTTCTAATTCTAAACCGTGCCATGTGTCTGTGGTGTGGGGAACCAGATTTTTGTTGTTGACGTCTGTACCAAAGACCCGGAAAAACCTTTATATTTTAATAGTAAGTCTCCCCTCCCCTTGGACAGATAGCAGGAATAATCAGAAGCTGATGGTTACAGTTTTCATCCTGGAGGAGCAGAAGCAAGAGCACTCTTTCCTGGAGGTGAAATTTTGGAGTGTCACTTCCTTCGGCACTCACCCACCGTCGAGTCTCGTGGCTGACATAGGAAGCTAATGAAGAGCCTTATCTGGAGCCAAACTTTGTTACATGGCAACAAACTAGGAAATGAGAAGAAATTATTTGGTGGATATTCTCCATTTGAGAAGTTTTTTTTTTAAAGTTTTATCCTATGGAAGAAAAAGGAATCTTTTAAAGTAGAAATAGTTGTGTATTTTTCCTCTCTAGGCTGTGATTTTAAGAAGGAGGTGTCAGTATTAGGTGCAAGGATTTTGTTAGCTAGAATGATTTTTTAATAATCATGAATCCTTGAATGCTAGTAGAGATTTTAATTCTGATTTGCTCTAAAACATGAGAATAAAGACCTACTAATTACAGGTTTAGAGAAACTGCAGGAACTGCCCTTTTAAGGAAGAAACACTGAGAATCAAAGCTATTTAACACAAAGATATTTAAGAGTGTACATAATAGCTCTCAACAAATTTGTTGAGTGAGTGATGAATGGAAAAGTCAAAAGCAAGAGGAACTCTTCATTCCCCCACTTTTGTCAAAAACCACAATTGCATTTAATTGTAAATAAAACCTTTTTCTGACTTTAGGCAACAGACTGTCAAGCCTGAAGAGACAATTTCTCTAATAAGACAGAAAGTAGGTAATTTATACCAGGCCTGGGCAAACTTCACCACAAGCCAAATTTGGCCCAGACTGTTTTTTGTATGGTGCAAGCTAACAATGGTTTTTACATTTTTAAAGCATTGTAAAAGAAAGAATATGAGACTGGGTGTGACCTGTAAAGACAAATGTGTATCATCTGGCCCTTGGGAGAAAAAGTTTGCCAACCTCTATTTTGTATGAAATTAACAAAAATTTTTACCTTTGTGCAGGAGGTATAAAAAGCAGCATGGTAGGAAAAGATGTGTTACCTCTCTCCACTCCTATGACTGTGGCATTGCCCAAAAAAAGCCTTTTTAAAAAATAAACTATTTAAATCACTGTCTTCTGATTTATTCATATTCCTTCTAGCTACTCACGAAAACAAATTCTGTGTGGCTAGTCATGTAAGAATGTGTTGAATTTTAGGTTCTTTTGATTAATTCTATAATTTGTTCCAGTGAAACCTCTTTCCAGAATCCATCATTTCTCTCCTCAATTTTGCTTCCATGAAGTTGGGTATTAGGATATCAAAAAAGATTTTTTTTTTTAATTTTTTTTTAATAGAGGCATGTTTTATTTATTTATTAGTTTGTTTGTTTTGTTTATGGAAGCACTGGGTACAGTCAAAAGCGCGGGAGGGTGAGAGAATTCGCCAGAGCCAGAGCAGGGAGCAGAGCAGGCAGAAGGACCGAAGTACACTGCTGAGGGGAGCAGCGGGCGGCAGGAGAGGTCTGCGCGCCATGTGGGACCCTCCTCTTGTGGCCGGGGAGCAGCCGGGGATCGAACCAGCGCTGCAGAGGCCGCGGGCAGCCTCGCAACCCAGCGCTCAACCGCTGCGCCACCGGGGAGGTCCTCAAAAAAGATTTTTTGAAGTCATTTGCCTTTGAAGTTTTTTTTTTTTTTTAAAGATTTATTTATTTATTTATTTGTTAGGGACTTATTTATTTATACAAGCACTGAGTACAGTGAGAAGCGCGGGAGGGTGAGAGAATTCACCAGAGCCAGAGCGGGGAGCAGAGCAGGCAGAAGGACCAAGGTACACTGCTGAGGGGAGCAGCGGGCGGCAGGAGAGGTCTGCGCGCCATGTGGGACCCCTCCTCAGGTGATGCAGCCGGGTCTGCGCGCCATGTGGGACCCCTCCTCAGGTGATGCAGCCGGGGATCGAACCAGCGCTGCGAGGCTGCGGGCAGCTTCGCAACCCGGCGCTCAACTGCTGCGCCACCAGGGAGGCCCATTTGCCTTTGAAGTTCTACTGCAGTCTTAGTCCCTAGTCCGGTAGGCTGTGGCTATGATTACATTTGAGAGAGCCAATTTTAATTTAGCTACCCTTATTTTCAGATTTTGGTTTGTTCTCCCCTTGATTTTGATCTCTGAAAGAGTCAGGTGATAACCCTTGAAGGATACTTCTTTTAGTTTTTTTTTTTTTTTTTTAAAGATTTATTTATTTATTTATACAAGTACTGGGTACAGTCAGAAGTGCGGGAGGGTGAGAGAATTCACCAGAGCCAGAGCAGGGAGCAGCACAAGCAAATGGACTGAAATACACTGCTGAGGGGAGCAGCAGGCGGCAGGAGAGGTCTGCGCGCCATGTGGGACCCTCACTGGTGACCGGGGATCAAACCGGCGCTGCAGAGGCTGCGGGCAGCTTCGCAGCCCAGCGCTCAACCGCTGTGCCACCGGGGAGGCCCCTTTTAGTCTGTTTTAACAGTAGTCAATGTTTTCTTCTAGGACTGTTAAAACTAAGTGTACACTTGAACTGAAAAAAGATCAGCGTGGTAGATTTTGAGTAAGGTTATCCACTTAATTCAGATGTTAAAAAATCTCATGTATGATATTGTAAAGGGCAAATTTCTTTTTAAAGAGTTATTTAAGCATACAAGAACTGGAGTGTAGGCCAGAGATGTGGAGGTGAGATAATTCACCAGAGAGAGAGAGGGGAGCAAAACAGGTGAATCTACTGAAACACACTGCTGAGATGTGTGCTGTGCCATGTGGGTCAGCTCCCTGGTGGAGGATCCAAGTTGCGCTGCAGTGATAGCACTGACTTTAAGCCCTGCGCCACTAGGGTGTCCCCCTGTAAAGGGAAAATTTTAAATAACCTTACCTTTTATGGCAATTGACATTTTGGGCTATATTAGGGATTTCAGTCATAATAATTGCCAACCCTCTAAAATCTCACAGTAGCATACTATTCAAGTGGGAGGACACTGGTATGATGCAAGTTAATTTTCAAGCTTTATATACATCGCTTTTTCTATTTAAAAAAATGTGTTCTGGGCCTCCCCGGTGGCGCAGCGGTAGAGCGCTGGGTTGCAAAGCTGCCAGCGGCCTCTGCAGCGCCAGTTCAATCCCCTGCTGCTACCCGGCCACCAGAGGAGGGTCTCACATGGCGCGCTGCCGCCCGCTGCTCCCCTCAGCAGTGTACTTCCGTCCTTCTGCTTGCTCTGCTCCCTGCTCTGGCTCTGGTGAATTCTCTCACCCTCCCGCGCTTCTGACTGTACCCAGTGCTTGTATAAACAAAACAAACAAACAAACAAACAAATAAATAAATAAAAACATGTCTCTATTAAAAAAAAAGTGTTCTCCCAATTCTTTTGTACTAAAAAGAATGGCCTCTCTGGTGGCACAAGGGTTACTAAGCACAGCAGTATGAAGCTATCACAGCCTCTGCAGCACAAGTTTGATCTCTGGCTGGCCAAGGAGATACCCACATGGCGCAGCAGACCTCTCCTGTCTCTCCCACTGGTCCCCTCAGCAGTGTACTTTGGCCCTTCTGCCTGTTCTGCTCCCCACTCTGTCTCTGGTGAATCCTCTCACCCTCCTGCACCTCTGGCCTGTACCCCAGCTCTTGTATGCATAAATAAATCTTTTTAAAAAATAATGGGATCATCAGTTTATCAGCTTCATTATGAATCTTACGTAATGTTAATTTTATGACATTTTCATAGGTTGTAATTCAGGATAATAGATAATACACAAGAACCCTTCATTAGAGAGTATACCGTGGAAAGGGACAACCAACTAATTTTGGAATTATCTACTGGGCGATATGATTAACAAAACATCAAAGAATTTTTGTCAATGGACTAATGATTTGTTTCTAACCACTGTCACACCATGTAAAAGTTTCCCCAGATTTTTTTTTTCTGGTTTGCCTGGATTAACATAAGAGTAAAAATTTCAACTTTCTTTTTTAAAATCAATCTAATTTTCTGTATATTTCACAAATATAATTTTAGAAGGGCCATTTGACAAATTTCAGCATTAACTGCCAACTTACAGACAAAAGAGACATTTACTCTTGGCTCTTTTAATGTAGATGAACTGTCCTACTATATTACGGATGATAGTGGTGTGACTGCAGAATTAAATCTGTGGTCCTGGGCCTCCCTGGTGGCACAGCGGTTGAGCACTGGGTTGTGAAGCTGCCCACAGCCTCTGCAGCGCTGGTTTGATCCCTGGCCACCGGGCGAGGGTCCCACATGGCGTGCAGACCTCTCCTGCTGCCCGCTGCTCCCCTCAGCAGTGTACTTTGGGCCTGCTCCCTGCTCTGGCTCTGGTGAATTCTCTCACCCTCCCGGGCTTCTGACTTTACCCAGTGCTTGTATAAATAAATTAAATTAAAAAAAAAAATCTATGGTCCTATCTATTTCAAAGGCTGAAAGTGGTAAAACTACTAGAGTTAGTGTTTTTATCTTTAGATTAACAATCCCAGATTGAGATTTCTTTCATCTCAATTTTACAACATAAAATGGGGAATATGGGAGAAATGAATTGTGGGAACAGCAGTGCATGCTCAATTGCAGAGTTGGGAAAATGGCTCAAAATTTTTTCATATTCTTTTATTACAGGTAAGATCCAAAGACATCCAATAGCATTTGTTTTTCTAACAACATTGTTTCTTTGTGTATAATGAAATTTAAAAACTTAGCCAGAAATTCTTATCAGTTAAATACAATTTGACTAGAAACTAATACAAATACACACAAAAACTAAACATTTTTCAACAAAGTAATTTATTTTTTTTCCTGAGACTAAATTCAGTACAATATTTGTTTTCATAACATCCAACATGTTTTATGTCAAACTTAACCACTTTCTATGCAGTGACTGTGGTGGGGTGATCTATTTTATTTGACTACCCTCAATGTAATTCATTTGGGTAGTTCTAAGGTATATCAGTGATCAAAATGTTTCTTCCTACAGTTACTCCTGCATTCTCAATCAGTTTCTTCTGCACATCATCTAAAGAAAATTTATGTGGTGTGATTACACTCTCTCTCTTTTTTTTTTAATACCAGGATTTCTAAAACTAGGAAAAACACCAACATTCAAAACATCAGTGTTTCTAGTTAAGGATAGTTCAATTAAATTTCATCAGTACATTATATTATAGTTTAACTCATGCTAGAAATGTTAAAACCCAAGATCTTCTGAGTCACATAATGCCAACATTTCATATTAATGAATAAATTACTCGGATTCCATACAAAGATATTAAGTGATGAGAAACAGAAAAAGCCAAGCTTTCAAGAGCTCTTTTAAAAAAAACACAGAAGCAAACTAATGAACATAACTACACAAAATATACACTAACCAATTATAAACTAAACTAAAGATTAACCCTAAAAAAAATACATTTAGAACTTCGTGATACCCTCATAAAAGGCAGCAAAACTAAGGGTATTAAAACAATAGTCATTATTTTAGTTACTGAGCATCAAGTCTAAAAGATCCAGATAAAGGAAATGTTTTGTTTTTGATTCAATTTAAATACTTTAAAATTGGAAATATTTAATAATTGATAGTATAATAAAACTTTAAAGAATATACACAAATGATTTGAACAGGTTTTATATTCAGTAACTTGCATGGTTTTTACACTGGCACTTTTATCACTAATTTAGGAGAATCTGATGCATTTCCCTCCATATACGTAGGCACTAAGATTTCAAATTTATAAATATGGTAGTTTTTTAAATATTAAATTTTCACATGAATACTGGGTTTATTCTTGTTTTCCTTTATTTCCTAGGTATTATCCAGTTTTGTAAGGAAAACACTTTTATATCACAATCAAAACTTGTCTTGGTTACTAGACTGTAGCCATAATTGGGTTACAGTCACTTATATTCATTATTTGGAATTATACTTACTAAGGCAGACCTAAATGAAACTTATCTTCTAGAAGAATTTCACATTTGCATTTACCTGCACTGCAGAATAGGTTTAAGCAATATTTTAGCTGTTAGGAAATATTTTACTTAAACTTACTTTGACTACTTGTAACTTCTAGAGTAGTCAATTTACCTTTGAGTTCACTTTAAACTATATCTGATTCATTCCAAATAGAAGATTTTTAAACAGAAGTTAG